TTTTTTTTCTAGATATTTTATTTTATTTAAATAACCTGTAGTCACTTGTTAAATTGTTTTTCAAAATGAAAACAATGTCAGATGTTTTATGTGTTTCCTTAATTATATTTATCTTATTTACAAGTGTTATTGTTAATATCTGCATTGTTTTTTCTCGATTAATGGATTAGGTGTGCAAGGATGCGAACAGAGTGACTATCTTTAATTATTTCAATAGTGGGTGTATTTCAATAGTGGTTATTGCCTATGTTTGTTTTTGAAATACACCCTCAACCTCTATTGATATAATTATTACAATAGTAGTCGTATTTCAATAGTGGTTATCACCTATGTTTGTTATTGAAATGCACTCTCTCCCACTATTGAAATAATTATTTCAATAGTGGTCGTATTTCAATAGTGGTTACTAACTATGTTTGCTATTGAAATGCACTCTCAACCACTACTGATATACTGAGTAATTATTTCAATAGTGGTCGTATTTCAATAGTGGTTTCTAACTATGTTTGCTATTGAAATGCACTCTCAACCACTATTGATATAATTATTTCAATAGTGGTCGTTATTGCAATAGTGGTTGCAACAATGCTGCATATACGGTTACCAGTTTATGCAAATACGATGTACATATATTTGTGTGTAACATAGGCATCGGTACTGAGAAGCGGGGATGCTTTTTGCAAAGGTCACATATTATAGGCATTGAAAATTGGGCTTACCTTGGGGAAGGGGGTCACTTTCAATTTGCTACCGACGGCTTTGTACACTTTGAAATTTTTTTCAAAGTGCGTTGTGTCCCAAATTTAACGCACTTTGAAAAAAAAATTTCAAAGTGATTTTGTCCCAGTTTTAACGCACTTCGAAAAAGATTTTCAAAGTGCGTAATTTTTTTTTTAAGTGCGTTGCCACACGGGGTTAATATATCGGTACCTATTAGTTGATTCGATTCGCAAGAGCATGCTCTGCGTATGAGCTTTTTTTTAAACGAGGTAAGTTACAGGCAAACAAATTTCTGAAACAAGAAGTACACGGCGGGTGTAATCGGTCGGCATGGGATGCTCACTCTGCCATGGCACCTGAACCCACTTATTATGTTTTGGAGGTCCCTGTTTGCTCTGCTCCTGTTTTGAATCGTTTAATGAACTATTCAGCTTGAATGCTGTTCGTTATCTCCATATATTTCATTTCAGGTATTCCAGAAATGTTGGATGGGCACTTAGAGTTAACTTTTATTATCTGATCTGTTCTCATGTTTCTATGAAACAGATTTCATTGCACGTTTTACTGAAAAAAAATACCGCTAAAACAATCCGTCTATTCCTTAAACTTCAGTATGCCAATAAAGGAATTTTCGCGGTTAATATAAGTAATATTCTTAATAACAAAGGGTCTAGTCTTATATTCCAACATATTTCAAGTTAAAGGCTACACTTTGTTTTTTCTACAAATATACATCGACCATTGCTTCCAAACTTTTCAATTACAAAAGAAAACTTTACATGGCCTGGATTTCGAGTATCTGAAACATAATCCTTCATCTTGTTCATGTTCTTCTTCACCCTATAACTATAGTCCTGCTGGACACGTTATTACAGGTGACGTAAATATAGTTAATATTGAGGGCCTTAGATCACTTATTTAATCTAGGGAACCCTGATCCTTAAACTGGCGTCGGGATGTCATAAATATTATGGATTCTGTTGAAAATTACGCCAGACGATGGGTCAGATATGAAAAAAAAAGACGTTGACACTTTGTCGGAATAGATTAAATGTATCAGATCCACGTTAAAATTGCATGTTTAAAGATTGAGGGCAATATGAAAACCATCTATCCTTCTGTAATCAATAATCAAGAAGTGAGAAAAGAATTAGACAGATTACATGATCATTAGTACTGAATTAATGCAAAGAAGAAAAAAGAAGAAAACACTTGCTGTGGCCTTCAACTCGACATTTAGATATATCGACGACGTATTGTCAATTAACAATGGTACATGTAATTTCAATTCCTATCTCGATACGATAAGGTATATCCTTGTTAGCTTGGGATAAAAGATACCACAGAGTCTGGTCTCATATTTGCATATTCTACTTGAAAAAGACGTTAATGGTAATCTAACCACCAATTTCTATAATAAACATGATGACTTTAACTTTTCTATCGTCAACTTTCCTTACTTATGCAGCAATAAACCTTCATCATCTGCATACGGAGTTTATATCTCTCAGTTGATTCGATACGCAAGAGCATGCTCTTCGTATGAACAATTTCTAAAACAAGGTATTGACAAACAAGTTGATGAAACAAGAATTTCAGCAGTCTCGTTTAAAGTCATCATTTCGTGAGTTCTATGGTCGATACAATGACCTTGTCAGCAAATACAATTTATCACCGAGTCAAATGCTGAGTGACGTTTTTCATACTAATTGTTAATCCATTAATTATACACTGAATTGACGACGGATTTTTCCGTTATTTCCAGATAATGACAAGGAGCCGGGTGTGACCGGTCGACAGGGAAAGCTCACTCCTCCATGGCACCTGATCCCACCTCTGATGTTTTGGAGGTCCGTGTTTGCTCTGCTACTGTTTCCTATTTTGTATTGTTTTGTGGACTTCTGATATTGAGTGCTGTTTGTTGTCTCCATATCCAAAAGTGTCTTCGCTTAGCACGTGGATATGATGCAATCAGTCAACTTTTGAAGCAGATTATATCAAAATGATTTATAAATTTAAAGCGTCCTTTGGAATGTACATTAAAATTTTATTGAAATAATGCGTCCTGATCAAAATTCATGCGTAATTTACGCATTACGCACATCAAAATGAATCACTGTTAAATCTAAATAAGAAAAAGAACAAACTTGCTATGACTTTCAATTCGACATTCAAATTAATTCTTGTATACATATATCGATGACATTTTTAAATAGCTACATATGTACTCCCATTATATGTCATCTCGATAGAAACAAGTGAACTTGACGAAAAGACGCTACAGAGTCTGTCACATCTGTTTATCTGTTTCATTTTTTGGGTATTTAAATGATTATAGATGATAATTACAGAACAATTAAATTTTATGACAAATGAGAAGACTTAATTACTCAAATAATTGTATTAATTTAACAGTTTGTTCAAAAAGTTTAATAATTCGGTATAACAAATAAGTAATCTGTTATAACAAGTTACCAATAATAATTCGTTATAACGAATTATTAATTTGTTAAATAACAATTTAGTAATGTATTATAACAAATAAGTAATCTGTTATAACAAATTATGAATTTGATGTAACAAATTAGTAATTTGTTTTAATTCACAGACTGCTATTTTTGGACATTTGAAGGTGTATAGATATCTATGGAATTCTAATAGATCAGAAATCTTTAAAAAGGTTGAATTCCGTGAAACAAAAAGTGTAAGTCCTGTAGATGTGTCGACCCATATTCCTCTTTTAGCATCTTACAGTTTTCACTGTCAAACATCAATGTCATGATATAATGCATAACATGCTTCAAAAACTATGTCCATCCGTCTTGCCACCCCACCCCACCCAGGCTTTCTCTCCTGTCGATCATTACACATTGCACCCCCGTTCGTATGCTAAGAAAAATATTTTATTTAAACATGCTATTTTGAAAGGGAATTTTTTGCCCCACCTTTCAACAAAATCTCTCTCTCTCTTTCTCTCTCTCTCTCTCATGGATTCAATCTATGGATTTATCATGACCTACCTTACATACTGCTTTTCAATAGAACATGCCTCCTAAACAACCCAATTCATTTACAAAGAATAAAAAATGTATTTTAACCTAAACCCTGAATCTACTGCCGTGGTGTGTGGTGAACCTCCCTGGTCTCCTATTACGCAGGGGGTAACATTGATAAAAATGAATTTGTCGATAAATCATAACCAAAATTTTTTTTAAAAAATGGAATACATTTTGTAACGTACAGCTTTTCTCTGAAAACGAAAATAAACAATATTCTTGAGGGGGGGGGGGGGGGGTACTTGAAAATACATTGTACCTTGTACCGATATTGTTCATTTTTATGTATACGTGTAATTTTCATAACTTGATCAAAATAAGTGTCTGCTTTAATAGCTTTCAAAAGTCTCACTAGAGCCTTTATAACTTATATAATGGACCGAAAACTTATACCATAGGCGTCGGAACGGGGGAGGGGCTTACACCCCCCCTAGTTTTTCTGCAAATATATACATTATATAGGCATTGAAAATTGGAGTTTATCTTTTTTGGTTGGTTTAGCCCCTCCCCCTCCCCCACTTTCAATTAGCCCCCCACTTTTAATTTGCTTCCGACGCCTATGTATACAGATGCTCGCAAATCCGACTCGTACTAAGATTTCTGATCTGATCTGGCTTTCGTAGATCTCACATTTTGTCAAAAATAGTCATTTGTTTTTCATATATTTTGTGAAAAATAGTGATATTTTTTTTTAAAAATTACTAAATTTGTTATATCAAATTTTTAATTTGTATAATAACAAATTGATAATTTGTTAAAACAAATAAGTAATTTGTTATAATAAATAATAAATAAATTATATCAAATTATTAATTTGTTATGATGATTTGTTATAACAAATTGATAACTTGTTATAACAAATTGATAATTTGTTAAAACAAAGTAAATATGCAGCTGCCGCTCTTATACGCTTCAATAGAAATGTCCACTTCACAGAGGTATAATTACTAGCAGGAAGATCTTCTTGTAAATTAAACGTATGAAATTTTTATCTTCTGGTTAATTAGCTCAATTTGTTAGGAGAAAATACTGTTCTTTCGATGATTTCTTCGCTGGAATGGGAAGATGAGGGATAGAATAATGTTTGTAGGAGAAAAAAAATTACAGGAAAAGGGTTTTCTCCATTTTTAAAAAAAAGAAAATAATCACATTGTCTTTATAAAACATATTTTGAAAACTGTATAAAACTGTAAGATTTATATGAAAGAGGAAATTTCCATGATGTAAAGTAACATGGTATTTTCATCGGGTTTGAATTACAAATAAGTCGGGCTCAAAAATTCTACTTTCGATTTTCAACGTAATTTTTTTTTTTTACAAAAATGAAAATCGACAAAATGTTACAAAACTTGTAACACTAGGAGACATCAAAAGAAACCATGTCTATTTTTTAAGGTTATAGACCTTTATTTATTTTTTTTTTAGTTCTTCTCAGTTTCGCGGTATAGGTGGCCCTCGGCAATGTTGTAAAGCTGCCAAAATAACGGGAGGATGGGGTGATGCCACTGAGGGCTGACAGGTCGAGCTTGATTTGAAGTCCTATTCTCGATTCTTTGGGACAATGGATAAGCAGAAAGACTTCTATTTTGACGAAAATTTACTTTAAAATCAAATCAAATGTAAATTGAAAACAAGAGAACCCAAGAAAGATGAGTCCTGGATTGTTTATTGTGTGTCTAGTTTCAGCATTGATCTGGAAATCTGTACTAAGTGGACATGACTGCGTTCATCGTCCGCCCACGCCCGAGGAGGTAACTGAGATGAGTAACTTCTCATTGATGATTTGATATACGAAGTTGTTGTTACATTATTAGTAGCCTCTTATTAACAGAAATACTGATTTATAATATTATTTACAATAATGATGTTATAAAACTTTAAAAGATTATGATTCAGTATTTATACAAATAATATATAAAACTTTAAAAGATTATGATTCAGTATTTATACAAATAATATTCTTATTACGTTTTCTATGTTATATAGATTGGAGGGTCAAATGAGTTTAAAGATTTTGTGTTTTAATATATAAACAATCATTATTTTATGCATGTTTAGAAATAATTATGCCATATTGATTAGGGCTGTATCAATATATCGATACGTATTGATTTTCAAGAAAAATATTGTATCGAAAAATAATTTCCAATATGTATCGGACAAACAGTTTTTCTTCTAATTCTTTATAAAAGATTGGAATTTTAGTCACCAAAGATTATATTTCACTTTCTTTTTTATTAAAACTGTTCAATAAATAACAATAATTATATAATTTCCAAGGAAATAACACAGTTTTTATAATTATTACAAAATATATAGAGAAATTTATTTGATCATGTTGATTTTACTGTCATCAAAAGTTTCAATTGAAGTGTTATTTTTAAAGACAATGAGACAAGAACTTTAAAATGGGTAATAAAACACTTAATTGTTATGAGATTTATGCATTAAAATGATTAAGAAGCCTTTTCTGATGGACTTGTTTTAAAATCCAATATATCGCATATCGCTTTAAAAAATTTTGTGTTTTAATATATAAACAATCATTATTTGCATGCTAGAAATAACAGCCCTAATATTGATATAGTAAAATATATTTCCTTTTATTTGTATTTTTTAAGTGTTTTTATTACATACCTTTTATTAACTAGGTTGTTTATGATGTGAAGATAGACAACCACTGGAATGTGACAAAAAGAAGCATACATCAGCAACTCAGAATCAAAACCATCATTGACAGCAGTATTAGAAAACTCCCATACTCTCACCAGGATTTGATCAATGTATATATATTTACGGTTTAATTTTTATTAATCTATCGGACATTAGGTCCTTATTTAGAAAAGGTCTAGAAGTTTTATTATAATCATAATCATAAGAAGAAGGATCTGGTTGAATTCTTTTATAAATTATTGTGTTCAGTGATAAGAAAGAATATGAAAAAAAAAAATAAACATTCATCTTTAAGATATTTTGTAGAAACTTGTACAAGAAGCTGTTCAATATTGGGAGAATACCCTAAAAGTCAAACGTTCATCAGCAAGTGCCATCCGCCTTAACAGGTACAAACTTGTGACATTTATTTTGACTTGATAATAAACGTTTAAATTTTCAATTAAAACGCCTAAACATATTAAATTAAATCAAACAATTTTGACACAAGTGGATATTTTGTATTATCATTTTGATGTTTTGTAGGCAGTGTGTCAACAATATGGTTGTCTATGATAAAGGTGACCGTTACTGTGTAGATTTCTGTTCTCCAAATACAACATGTGGAGATTTTCTAATTCCAGAGGATCATTTAGAGGTTTCATTCTTTATATTTTTTGTTGTTTTGTATTCTTTTTTGACAAAATATGAAATACTGAAGAACTACGTTTTTTCATGGGGTCATAATTCCGTGGAATCTCTATTTCTGTTTAATCTGCAGGTAGAGAATTTTGCGGATTTCATAGGCTCTCATTATATGCTTAACATAAACATTACCACACAGAAAAAAGTACCTCTGTAGTAATTGAACATTCTTTAATACTTAAATGCTTTGAAGCATTTTCACTTTTTGATTCATTCACATACATGTTTTTTAGAGATGTTACTATCATGACCAGCGTACTGGTGCACTTCGCAGCTCGGGACAGGCGGGAGCAGGAGTCGCGAATGCTGATTTTATTCTGTATGTGGCAGCTTTACCCTCCTATAAATGTCAACAGGCCAAAACAATCGCTTACGCTGCTCATTGCCAACAGGAGATTGTGCAAGACAGGTAAAGTTAAAGATTTGATAAATACAGTAAAACAATCCATATTCACTTTTGTTTTAAATCTTAGTCCCTTGCACTTCTTTAACAAATTCATTTTAAAAAATTCTGTGTAGTCCGGATACTGTCTATTTTTCCGAACGGCCATACTGGTCCCAACTGCTCATAATTAACGGTAATTATTCCCTCTAATCCGGCCACACCTGAGTTACTTCAAAGCAATTATAACACCTTTCGTGGGGAATGTGATTATCTGTGTTTACATTAGCATGATTATTAGTGCCATAAGACGAACTCGGTGTAATACTGCGGTGACACAGTCCACTTGAAAAATATATTATGTGATTGAATTACAATTAAAAAAAATAACTTTGTTTTAACTCCTGTTACCACATTATAACATAAGCACAAAAATATATGTACGCGATTTACAAATCAAAATATAAATCGGGATCGAAAATCGACCGCATTCAACATGTTAAAAATGGCGCCATGACACTGTGGGAGAAGACGTAAAATTAAATTTTTACATAAAATTAAAAGTTCAATCTAATAATTAGCACATCGTAAATAATTGTGCATTACTGCCAATACATTGAATGAGGTCTTTGACAAGCGAAACCAGGTCCGCTTGATACATAGTCGGCCTATATTATGCTTGCCTGTATATTTTGATTCAGGTAACATTTCACCCGACTTTCAAACTTCGTGAACAAATAAGAAAATATAGTCAGTCATGTGAGACTATTTTATAATTTCTAGACTCCAAAATAGTAATTGATTTAATCATTTAAATTTTATTTATGATATGTATACAATGTACTTGTAAATAAACAACGAAAATTTTCGAAATTGATATTTTTTTTGCATTTTTCCTGCACTCCGGATTCTGTCTAATCCGGCCAAATTTTATGGAACCGGTGGCAGCCGGATTGGACAAATTATACTGTACATATTCTCTATTTTAAAAGTCATACCTACATTGTGTTTAAGATGATAACTTTTTTAGGAAAGTATAAATTGTCTCCAAAAGGCAAACTAAACAACACCACTCAAAAAAATATATTATTTTGTATATTACTGTAGGTCATGAAATGGTTGGTCTCTTCATACCTCAACAACAAAGAAAAATTTATACCCCTCATAAGGCTGTGATTTTACTGTATATCAAAACATTGCTAACATAAAAAATTGTCAATTTGTAACTGAACCTCTTTATTACAGACCTGTAGCTGGTTACATCAGTATATGTCCTGACTCTGTGTCAACTCGCACACATGACCGAACTCAGCTCCTGTCCACGATGAAACATGAAATCTTGCATGCTTTGGTAAAGTTTATTGGTATATTCAATAACAATTAAGTTTTTGAATCACTAAATAATCTGCAGAATGTGCGTCAGAAATATATGACATAATGATGTATACATGTGCTGTATATACCAGAGTAATTTTTATGTTGGTGATTTTTTTTTCAGGGCTTCTCTGCTGGGCTGTATGCTTTCTTCCGTGACCCATTTGGAAACCCCTTAACACCTAGAGACCCATCTAGTAATAAACCTTTCTACAAAGACCCAAGGTAACAGAAAAAAGATATTACATGAAACATGGGAGGATGAATGTCTGTTCAAATTAAGACACCTGAATATAATAAAAATTTAATTTATTAAGATGAAAACTGAATTCCTGTTATTTTCTGTTTAAGTAATTAAACAAAATGACTTGAAGCCTTGTCTATAGGAAGAATTGATATTATAAAGTGCAATAAAAGACATTTGAGATTGTGAAGCACATACAGTATAGAGTTTGATTTCTGTGGTTACAGATCTAAATTCTACCTGTGGAGTGATCGTGTGATGAAGGAGGTGATCAGATATGGCTGGAAAACGGCAGGAGGAAAGATAATGAGAAGGGTCAATATGATTGTGACCCCAGCAGTCCAGGTACAGGCTGAACTTTCAATATACTAGGAATGAGTTCAAAAGACCTGGATTCAACCTGGATTTAGATGCTAACATATATTTTTATGTCTGACAGCAAGTTAACAAACACATTAACATAACCTCTACTGGATTTGGCTTATTTATACAGAAAAATACATGTATAAATTGTGTTCAAAATTTCTGAACAAACCCATATTTGAAAAGAAAATATACACTTATATGTATCTAGTCTTGCATAAATACATATACATGTGTTTCTGTTTTTTCTCCTAAACTAAGAAATTACAATAATCCATTCAGAGAGAAGCTAGACGTCACTTTAACTGTCCTACGTTAGAGGGAGCAGAGGTAGAAAATCAAGGGATATATGGAACCTCCATCACTCACTGGGAGAAACGCTTGTTTGAGGTCAGTATACATGTATGTCTGTGTACTTCTTTTATTACCAGTGTACTGGCAGCTGTTACATTCTTAAGTTTGATAATGTAAAGTCAGGGTGTTAATATTATGGATGTATGAAATGGTACTTGATGATAAACATGATGAAGTTCTTTAAAATTTTTAACAGTCATAAAGATTGTGTCATTGTTTTTGCAGAACGAGGTGATGACCGGCACTTACACACAGAATCCAGTGGTTTCCAGGGTAACACTGGCTCTGATGGAGGATACTGGGTAAAAATGTCATTACTCTCTAGAAGGGCTGTCACGGGTAACCGCAATGACCCAGAACCGCGGAACAATTAATTCGGGTCGGGTTCGGTTCTGTTTTTCCAGAATCTGGTTTGGTTCTGATTTGTACAGTAGAGTAGTTTTTACCAAGAAAATGGCAACTAAAACAAAAGGTTCATTAGTATATTACCATATAAGTTGATTTGAATCATTTGGTTCAACTATTTTTCTAGTCAGGAAACTTCTATACTGTGGCATGCGAAAAATAAGCTAAATAGTAAAAATATACGGATCAAAGATTTTTGGAAGCATCTTTGCAGAATCAAATTGCATGAAAATGTACATGTTGTATATAAAACATGAACTAGCACATATATGTTTAAATTAACTGTTAGATATCTAAATTACTTGTAAATGATTATGATGGAACTGACATAACTCTTTGAAATGTTATTTCAAGGTGGTACCAAGTGAACTATAATACTGCAGAGGAATTGGAGTGGGGTAAAAACCTGGGGTGTGATTTTGTGACCAAGAGTTGCATGGACTGGATGGATTCACACAAGCCTCCGTAAGTGGCAAGATAAATTCTGCTTCATCTAATAGCCAATACAGTGTATCATGGAATTTTCAAACTATGAAATAAATACACAATTGTGATAAATATTTATGGACTCTTACCAGGTTGCTAGACATGCATCCCTACTGTAAGCAGATCAGACAGGGGATGCTGAGGACAGACTGTACACGGAATAGGAAAGCTGTGGCCTTCTGTAACCTAGCAGTGTACTCGGGACCCTTAGCCCCAGAATATCAGGTCACTGTCTTACTCTACCCCCACCCCCCACCCCCAACTTTCTCCAAGAACCCTGAAAATCAGAACCTTACCTCCAGGAATTTTTAGGTAATATCTCACAATTGTCATATCAGATAGTACAAAACACTAGATCAGTACCTCACCCCCTGTAAAATCAGAGAGTCTAACCCCGCCCTACCCCTCACATACAAAACAGGTTAATACCTTACAGTGGAGCATCAGTTTAAAGATTTAAAAAATATTCTAAAGGTAAAAATAAAGAAGCTAAGATAAAAAAAATCAGTACATTTTTGCAATTTACTCATCATTCTAAAAGAGACTTTGGTCAATATAGATGGCTGATGCAGATATACACATGAAGACTTATTTGCAAGCATTATTTTCAATTATTTAAATTTTAAAGTCATGCAAGCATTTTTTTCCCACAATTATTTAACTTTAAAAGCTATAGAATCAACTGAGGCTTTTTGAATTACAGACTGTTGTTCAGTTCTTTAGGTGCTTCTGGTCAGTGACAGGTGCTTGTTTTGTGTTTGTAGTATTTCACCTCCTCATCAGGAGTGCAGTGGTCGGGGGACTACAGACGTCTGGGGGGAGCTGTCGAGCTGGCCGATTACTGCCCATACCTACAGGTAAACTTCAGTTTTTACAGAAATATTTAATCATACTGAAAATTTAAAAATCAATTTTAAAGAATGTGTGTTTGCTTTGCTCTATATGGGTTTTTGTCTTTGTTGTGCTATAGGAGTTTATTTGGAATGAGAATGGTGTAAATACAAGAGATTCCAGATGTTTTCTGCCAGGGAACATCCCTAGTAAGTTATTTGGAAACCTGATAATCATAATAGAAGAGTTAGAAGACAGGACAAGGGAATCAAAATGTTATTATTTGAGTTAACAAAAACAAAATTACATTATTATACCCCCCGCAAACGAAGTTTAGGGGGGGTATATTGGAATCACCATGTCCGTCTGTCCGTCTGTCTGTCTGTCTGTCTGTCTGTAGACGAGATTTTGTCCAGACCATTACTCAGAAACCATTGGAAGCATTTGTCTGAAAATTTGTACACATATTATTCACCATATGAAGTTGTGCACCTGATATTTTCATCTTGATTGGATTATTATTTTGAATTTTACAGGTGTTTTTTCTTTTTTATTTTGTGGTTTTGTCTGGACTGTTTCTCAGAAACTATTGCAAGGATTAATCTGAAAATTTGTACACTTATTATTCACCATATGAAGGTGTGCACCTGGAATTTTCAACTCTTTTTGTTAATTTTTTTGCATTTTACAGGTTTTATTTTTTATTTTAATTGACTTGTTCATTTTGGGCTCATGTATAAGGTTTGAGATATAGAATCTAGAATATCTGTTCAAAAATACTACAGCTTAAAAACTACTCGTAAAAACTTAAAAAAAAGAAACATCATCAAGTGTTAAAAACAGTTTTTACATTGCACAGAAGATAATGTAATTTCATTTGTCTCTTGGGAATAATGACTGGACATGCATCCAGTTAAAGATAAATTAATGAGTTTGGTGTTGGAAGTTGTTAAGGCATATCTCTTATCAAGCGTGTGTGTTATCTAATCTCCAGGGAATAAGGCACAAGAATTAAAGATCTCTCTTCTCTTATTCTCTTAATTGTAATTTATTGTCTGTCAAAGCACTTCATTACTGGATGACCAGCTCTTTATTTTCAAAATGCATTTCAAATTGATATATCAAGATTAATTTGATTTTGTATAATGGTTTTTTTTCAACAATCAGTTTGCAGAGTGACATAACACATAATTGCAATATATTTCTTTAATGCAGAAATAAAAAATAATAAAATGAAAAAATAAAAAAAAAAATGTTACAATGGAATTACAATGTATTAGTATTGATGTTTCATTTGGTTGCACCTTTGTTTCATTCATTAAGAAACATGATGAGCAATAATATTTCACTGCAAATTTTTGCAAGTAAATTGTGAACACCTCTAGATCCATAAAGTATTTTTGTATTGGCACCTTCTCTGAAAAACCCAGCGGGGGGTATTTGTCCCTATTGGACAGTTCTAGTTAAAATATCTTTAATTGAAATCTAGAAATCTGTGATGAAAACATCAATTTTCATATGACTTTATTGTAGAACCCTCTCAGAACTTTTATGGAGAATCGTACGGTCCCAGCTCTATCTGTGTCAATCATGGACCTTCTTTGTGGAATCTGCAGCATTGTAACCGCTTGATCCACACCACACATGCGGGAAGTGGCTGTTACCAGGTACGTGTATATGTACTGTATACACGGTTATTTTCGCCCCGTCTTATTTTCGCCCTTTCACACTTGCAAACAATTTTGCCCCGTTTTAAATTCGCCCAGTCATAGTTTTGTTTAAGAAATTATACTGTATTCTTTGAATTCGCCCCGTTTTAAATTCGCCCAAATGAAAGTAGGGCGAAAGGGGCGAAAATAAAACGGGGGCGAAAATTTCCCTGTATACAGTATGATTAACTCCTCCTGTGCTACTGTTACTGGGAAGGGAAGGCAATGTAACAGACAAGATCAGGATTGAACCCTAGAATCACTAGTTACATATAGCCGTCAAATAAGCTATCTGATCATTGGTGATGGGACCTTCCTGACTGCCCCATACCTCCGCCTTCCTCTCAGTTTTTCCCCTCTGAAGATGCAAAACAGATGACAAAAAATGTAATAGGAAAGAAGAAATTGTATGGCTTGACTGTGAATCAAATCAGGTGGTCTGGTCTTTGACTTTTTTCTCTCTTGTGTTACAGATTTTCCCCTTACCTAAAACAACCCACGAGATTGGATCACCCAATTTATGCCCTAGACATTAAATCTGTATGTCGTAATTTTGTTTGTATATATCATGGGAATATCACCAATCATCGTATGTTATTAATGTATGCTTTATAATTTATCGTATATGTTTATTTCATGAATATTGTTTGGTTGTATAGTACAAACCCGAATTTCCTCCATTGATTAATCCTATCGTAATGATTAATGGCCACCTGGCATTGTTATTCTACTCATGTAACTCAAAATACACTTGGCATCATCTCCAAAGTAATCCCAAACCAATAATTCGTCCTTTTCCAGCGTTTGTAATACTTTTTAAAGCCTTGTTTACTTGGTGCAAAGTTGTTGACAAATGTCGCGCGAATAATGGCGGCACCGCACGTTATTCGCGCGTGGAGTATTTCGCACCTACCAACCAAAAGGTATATAATAAACGCTCCGAGAGAAAATCATCAGTAGTGCTTGCGCTGCTCAACCAGGCATGGTGCCTTCAGTGCCCATCAGACTGGTACTCTACCCATAGGTACGTTTTGTACCATTAGTTTGGGTAGGCTGATGCCATTACAAACCCAGTGATTTTGGGTCCCCATCCTTTTTCTGGGTAAACTCACCAGATTATGGGTAAAACACCCATTTTGTGAGTAAAACACCCATTTTCCCCAGTATTTGCCACTTTTTGTTGATTTTGGCCACATTTTAGTAAATTCCTGACTTTTTAGCTGTTTTTCTTGATATTTAATAAATTTATAGAAAATTGACCATCTTTTCTTATTATTGGGTAAATTTCAGAAATAAGAGACCCACATATAATTTCTGTAATGGGGTAAACCATAGAGTGGTAAAAGAATACGAAGTATTCAAAAGCCACCACTACACCCAGAAACGTTACAACTGGTGTCAGAAGTGGGATTTTCTCTTATCTTATTTTTGTTTACCCATAATTAAGAAATAGATAAAAACATTTTTTTACTTAGGTAAAATTTTATTAATTCAATACATTTTTTTGAACTGTACCCATTTTTGTACAAGATGGAATTAGAAGAAAGTTTTGAAGTAACTTTTAAGTCCCGTCCATCTTCACGTAACAACTTGGAGAATGATAGGCTAGCCACACCCGTTTCCAATCCTCCTTCTCCATCAAAGGCATCAGATATAGCCCAACCTGTGAATGAAAAGCAATTAGACGCTATCATGTCCATCATGCAAAATGTAAACCAACAATTGTTGGGCATGACAAATGAGTACCAAAGGTTGAGAGAGCATGTTGGCAATTTGGAAAAAGAAATTAAGAGCCCTATTCAAGATAGGGGAGACAATAATCATTTTCCAAATGTTATACCCAGACCCATTCATCCAGTCAATTCTTATGATGATTTTCATCCCCGCAATCATTCAAATCCAGTTTATGGGCAAAGGGAATATAACCCCGGTACAATGTCGGGTACCCATTATTCCCCATTACCTGAAATAAGCAGGAATGAAAACAGAATGCCTTACCCATGTACACCAAAAAACCATGTAACAATAAAACCCCAAACATTTGATGGCTCAGACATACATGTTAACCTATTGTGATGAAAAATAGGGAGATTTAGACCTCAAAAGCGGTAGCATTGCGCGCGTGTTGTTTAACGCTTGGATTATCGATATCTTTCATGTAATATACATGTATATTATAAGCCTTAAATGAAATCAGGTACCTACACTTATTAATCTTAAATATCAACAGCAAAGAAGAAGACAGAAACACCTTAAGTTTGACATAAATTTTACAAATTCAAATATTTTTTATGCTCATCATTTTGCTTGGATTGGCTGCTTTACTCAGCCTTTTGAAGAGTGATCTTTGCTGATATAGCCTAGAAGCAATAATTCTGAATGTTCATTCAGTTTTTAAACAAAACAATTGATGACATGGTTTAATCTAGATCTAAAACAAGTTCCTATCTTTCGTTATATAAATCAGATTTCCCGCGATGATCGAAAACGAAAGTAGAGATGTGCCACATGGCTTGGTCAATTGAGTGATTTCTATTGACTTTATTGATAAAGTTGTGAGCTTCTGTGCTTTTAAAGACGATGTCAAATGTTTTCATCTAATTCTTAAAAGCTGTATCTCCTTTTTCATGGCAGGGATGTTGATTAATTTATCGTAACCAATGTAATCACTGGTAGTCTTGTGTTGTTGTCGTTGTCAAATCCGTGCTTGAAATCTATGTACAAAAAAAAAAGCGTTTGTATGATTCCGAATCAAATCACGCGATATCTAGCGAGATTTTATGAGAGTGGCTTCAAAAATGGATACCCAAGCGAACCAAAAATACTTTAGACGCAGCTTTTGTAGAAAAGCGGTAGATTTCTGAATTAAATCGGTAGGCGGGAGATGGAGTGAAAAAGCGGTAGACTCCCGCCTAAATCGGGAGAGTTAACATGTATGGCTCAGAGGACTTTGACGAGTACCTCGCCCAATTTGAAATTTTAGTTGACTTGCATGGGAGGGATTATAAAACAAAATCTCTGTACCTTGCCAGTAGTCTGACGGGTGGTGCCCGGGCTCTACTGAGCGAATTAAATGAAAATCAAAGAAGAGATTTTAACTCCCTTGTAAAAATCCTAAACAGGAGATATGGCTCCTTTGAGAGATCAGAAATGTACCGTGCCCAACTCAAAACCAAAACTAGGGGTACAAATGAATCATTACCCGAATTGGCCCAATCTATTAAAAAATTGACCCGTCAAGCATACCCAACAGCTGACCCAACCATTATAAGCATTCTGGCACTCGATCAATTTATTGATGCCCTACCAGACCCAGATATGTGATTAAGGTTGAGGGAAGCTAAACCAAAAGACATAAACGAAGCAGAAATTTTGGCCATTCGATTAGAAACTTATAGATTGGCAGATGCCCAGAGAAATAAAACTGTCAATGTCATTCGTGACACTGACCCTATTTCATCATTAAAGCAAGATAATCAAAACTTGCGGGATGACATACAATCCCTTACCCAAGAAATCAGAGCCCTTATAAGAAATGGTCCAAGGCCGACCCATAATTTTGGGCAAACCCCCTATGAAAACTATTACCATATGGGCTCTTATGAAAACCCAGTCAGACCTGAGTACAAAGGGCATAGACCCACAAATTATGAACCAAGACCCCAGGGTTCACCCTACCAAGGAAATTCAAATAATGGGGGCAAATACCCCAAAAACCTCAAACAAAATCCTTTCCGACCTCAAGGACAGGGAAACTACCCAGAGTCGAATTCGGGGGTCGGAAGTCGACAGGTTCAAGGGGCAGGCCCCAACACTTGCCATTAAATATGGCTCAACCACTCTCACTAAAGCCCAAACCCAATATTGAAAATAAAACACATGAGAAATCTGATAAAGAAATCTCTGATTGTAATACACCTACCCCCAAAGAAATTTTAGTGAGAGATATAAACGGGGGAAATGATGGAATTTATGTTATTGGAAAAGTTGGAAATAAAGAGACAAATATACTAGTAGATACTGGTGCTAGTATGACTCTTGTCAGTACCCAATTCTTTGAAAGTATAGATACTGAGGAAAAGCCCCAAATTACCCCAGTATCTATCAAACTTACATCTGCAAGCGGTGATGCAATCCCAGTAAAGGGAGAATGCTTAATCAAAATGTCACTTGAAAATGTTCAAGTTACCCATATAGTACTTGTGGCTGATATACAAAACCCATGCATATTGGGATTAGATTTTATGACCCAGAATTCATGTGAACTTTTTGTGAAACAGATGAAACTAAAGGTACAGGGTATAGACATTCCCTGCTTTAGTACATCATGTGTAAATGTTGTGTCTTGTGGCAAGATAAGTCTTGTCGAGGATATTGGAAATCCTCCCCATTGTGAATATATTGCTTCTGAAAAGGCAGATAAACCTTTGATTAAGGATGAGGTTGAAATAATAGAACCTATCCCAAGTTTTGTTGAGAAGTGTGAATTGATGATCCCCCAAACCCCTGTAACTGTAGACAGAGAAGTCACAGTTTGTCATATGAATTCGAAAGATGAAAGTAGCAATTTTTATGAAAATACCAAAAACGCCACAGTCAAATGTGTTGACAAAGTACTTGATAAATGGGAACACTTAAACAATATCGAAACTTTTGATGCTCCTAGCCCAGAGCTCAAACCCCGATTTCTAGGCCACTTGCCATGTTCTAATATTGAGAAACAACCCAAAGAAATTGCAAATGAATCAAAACAAGAGTTTCATTTGAATGAAAATTGTCATGTAGCTTATGACAAACTCACAAGAGCCCTAACAAGTGCCTGTCACGATTGTGACAATGATGCCGATTGTTTTATATAGGATTCGTGTTACCCTGTTTGTACATTGTACTTTCCCCCATTTGTTGATCGCATAATCGGTTACATTTCTTATTATTGATTCACTGTACTTACGTTTCTAGAAGAACATGATCTTATGATTCTAATTTTATTATCCTGGATTAATATCAGTATTGTAATACGCTAGATTTGTTGTAAATATCGTTTCTGACTCTGTAACTTTATTTTTAGAAACCGCCATCATGATGATTATTTTGTGGAATGTCACGCCCGATTTTAATTGTAATTTTCTGTATACTAAGCATTTTTATCGAAATCTAATACTTAGGGGATATTGTCATTTTGTATAAATGTTTTATATTATGATTGTCATATTTTTATGTGGATTATCTATTGTTATTATTAGACATTATTTGACAATGATTATTGCCGGTGGCTGCCGGTGACTGCCGGTGGTACCGGAGATCTGCCGATCGTCCCTAGGGAAGCGCGTGGGTCTCCGGGGGGACTCTCCAGTGCTATAAAAGCAGGGGATAAGAACTGCCGGTGGGACTCGGCATTTAGATTTTGAGGTTAGCGGTTGTTTATTTGATTCTTAGCATTTTTCATTAGGAATTTAGTAATTTTTGAATTAATTCATCAATTTTTCTTAAAGTGAATACGGGTTAATCTCGTTTCACTATTAATTACTAGTATTTATCGTAGGACGTTTGTATTGGGTTAATCTCGATATTAAACGATTAAATAATTTTGTTACGGTTTGACTGAAAGTGAGTCTTGAAGTCTTTCCGTGTAAATAATTGTTTATCTTTGATAAATTTTAGGAATTCAATCAATTTAAAGTGATAATCTAGTTGCGTTTATTGGAATATTCAAGCAGGAATTAAGGCTAGGATTTGATATAGAAATTATAGAGATAAATTTCTTGCTTTAAATAGCTTTTATAGATTGTGTAGATTCGTTCAGAAATACTTTGGTTATTCTAAGGTATTTCTATAGTATTTATTATTCACTATTCGGGTCATTCTCGTTTAGTGCGCCCCCCCCTTTTTATCGTATTAATGTAATACGAAGGTTGTGTTAGTGTAGTAATTCATTGTGAATTTGGGTGATTCCCGACTTCCATTGAATTTTATTGTAATTGAATATTAATTAATACATATTGTGACTTTTATTTATTGAATAAATTTGTTAACTTTAAATAAGGCTTATCATTAAACTTCCCCGTAGTTATTTACGAGTCCAAACACAGGTTATTCTTGTGTTATTATAGGAGATCTATATTTACGGGTCATTCTCGGAAATAATCACAGTACTACATGGGTTACTCCCGTGTAGGCTTCTGAGGAGTACTTGTGCGTGAGATCCAAGCAGCTCAGGTCCGTTACATTTGGTGGCAGCGGTGGGATCTGCCAAGTACATCGGTGGATCCAGAGATACGTAACCCAGAACCAGTGCTGAGAAAAATCCATGCATAGGTACTATACCAGATCCAAGACTAGGATGGAGCCATCCCTTAATCCTGGACATTCCAGAGGACAATCCACAGATGAGGAACTCCTCATAGATTTATCGCCGTCCGCATTAAACAGATCACTCCGAGGGGAACAGAGCATGTCCAACAATGACAACTCCACAGAGGATGAAGATGACTCAGATACTCAGGCTAGAATATCAACCCCTATTAGAAAAATAAGAAGATCCAAAAGGACTGTACGTCAGCAGAGGGAGATAATCCCTACAGACACAGAACTGTCAGAACCAGTCACACAGTCATCACAGAATAATTCTTTCACAGACCCTATGAAGATAATGATGGAACAGATGGCCCAGACAATGAAAGCCATGCAGAATATGATGGAAGCAACTACTCAAACTCTCAGACAAGTAAGCAACCAGACAATGAAAGTCATGCAGGATATGATGGAAGCAACTTCCCGAAATCACGGACGAGTGAACAGCCAGCCACATACTACAAACTGCGAGCTGCAGCCTAAAACATCAAGAATCAACTCAAATAATAACAAGTCAGAGACAGAAACCAAGGTAAGCCATCATAAGAAATCAAACGAAGATTCAGAACAGTCTGAAAATGAGCAATCTGTCAACTCAGTCGCCGCAAGAAATTTGTTCAAGTCCAATGAGTCGTATAACCACAAGTTTGACTGTAAGCTTCCGCCTTACACAGGTTCTGAGAAATGGAGAGTTTGGCTGAATCGCTTCGAGTCTGTAGCAAAGTTAGCCAAGTGGACTGCTAAAGAGAAGTTACAACAGATATTACCGAGAATACAGGGAAATGCAGCTGATTTTGTTTTTGGTCAGCTGAAGGAGGAGACTATAGGGAGCTATGAGACTTTAGTCGCAGAAATAGGATCCAGATTTGGAACACTGGAAAATAAGAGAGTCTACAAAACTCAATTCAACAACAAAAGGCAAGGAAAAGATGAAAGTCTTGAAGAGTATGCTGCTGACATTAAGCGTCTTTATGACTGGGCTCACCCGAATAGAGATGCTAGCACAAGACAGGAAGACTTAATTTCAAAATTTTTGCAAGGACTATGGGATACTAAGGCAAGGCAGTACATCGAACTACACAAAGACCCATCAACAATTGAAGAGGCAGTACAGCAGGTAGCTGCTTACATGTCAGTGACATCCAATTTAAACACAAATGAAGAGAGACGCCCTATGAGACAGACTAAGCCTTACGGAAAGGGAGACAATCGCAATACTGGGAAAGAAAATGCAAATGCCATGAAGATGACAAAGGGGAATTGCTTCATTTGCAACATGCCCGGACATTTTGCCCGAGAGTGTCCGGATAGAAAGTCTCACAGGACAGAGAGATCACAGTACAGGAAACCTCCAGAGAAAACTATGTCATCATCTCTATCAAGTACAGAAGAACAGCCAAACACAAGTCAAAGCCAAGCTACAAGTACAATGTCACCTGATGCACCAGAATTTCAACCAAGTCATCAATCAGAATGGAATGTGTACTCAGATAAAGATTGCAGAGACAAAATGGAGAAGCCGTTAAACTAGAAGGGGTCAGCTCCGGAGGCCAAGAGACGACCCAAAGTAACAAAGGCCAAAATGACTGTAAAATTTTAATCGAACCTATTTTAAGTGGAAATTTATATGAATCAGGGGAGAAAATTGAAAACCAGGGGAAATTCCAGCCTTACATCAGGGACGTTTCAAGGGAAGAGGAACTGTGTGCTCAGAGGGAGTACATTAGGAGACAGCTCCTCAAGGCAGATGGAATTTATGTTCAGGGAACAATTCAAGGGATAAAGGTAGAGTTCACGGCAGACACAGGGGCTGCAAGAACTATATTATCCGACAAAATATTTTGGAGACTCCCCGGGAACGAAAGACCAGAGCTAAAGGAATCTTCAAGCCTTGTAGCGGTCAGTGGAGATCCACTTAAAGTCTTAAGGAAAGCTGAATTTGAAGTGCAGTTAGGAAATCTAAAATTTCAAAGGGAGATAATAATTGCGAAAATTGAAGATGAATGCCTCTTAGGTATGGACATCTTGTTGGACAGTCAATTTGGGCCTGCAGTTATCAATTTGAATCACAGCTTCATTTCCATGAATGGCTGTAAAATACCTTTCACAAAAGCGAATCGGATTCAAGATGGTGCTGGAAGATTCGTGTACAAGACCTTTGACAATGGCTAGCAGATCAGCGTTAATGTCTTCAGTAAAGAAAATTAGTTAGAATGTGGTGTAAGTATGGTAAGAGTTTAAGTATACTTATGCACTTTGTAATTTTGCTTTTATCGTTGTATATTAAAAGAAAAATTTCTAACAATTGAAGTAATGTTAGGATTCGATTGTGAAACTGAGGAAATTATATGACTTTGTCTAGTGTACATTTTTTAATGTTAATTTATTATTGATGGAGAAATGTATTGAATGTATATAGACATGTATTGTTGGTTTTTTTCAATCTTAAGATTTTGGTGAGGACACCAAAGTTTTAAGAGGGGGAAAATGTCACGATTGTGACAATGATGCCGATTGTTTTATATAGGATTCGTGTTACCCTGTTTGTACATTGTACTTTCCCCCATTTGTTGATCGCATAATCGGTTACATTTCTTATTATTGATTCACTGTACTTACGTTTCTAGAAGAACATGATCTTATGATTCTAATTTTATTATCCTGGATTAATATCAGTATTGTAATACGCTAGATTTGTTGTAAATATCGTTTCTGACTCTGTAACTTTATTTTTAGAAACCGCCATCATGATGATTATTTTGTGGAATGTCACGCCCGATTTTAATTGTAATTTTCTGTATACTAAGCATTTTTATCGAAATCTAATACTTAGGGGATATTGTCATTTTGTATAAATGTTTTATATTATGATTGTCATATTTTTATGTGGATTATCTATTGTTATTATTAGACATTATTTGACAATGATTATTGCCGGTGGCTGCCGGTGACTGCCGGTGGTACCGGAGATCTGCCGGTCGTCCCTAGGGAAGCGCGTGGGTCTCCGGGGGGACTCTCCAGTGCTATAAAAGCAGGGGATAAGAATTGCCGGTGGGACTCGGCATTTAGATTTTGAGGTTAGCGGTTGTTTATTTGATTCTTAGCATTTTTCATTAGGAATTTAGTAATTTTTGAATTAATTCATCAATTTTTCTTAAAGTGAATACGGGTTAATCTCGTTTCACTATTAATTACTAGTATTTATCGTAGGACGTTTGTATTGGGTTAATCTCGATATTAAACGATTAAATAATTTTGTTACGGTTTGACTGAAAGTGAGTCTTGAAGTCTTTCCGTGTAAATAATTGTTTATCTTTGATAAATTTTAGGAATTCAATCAATTTAAAGTGATAATCTAGTTGCGTTTATTGGAATATTCAAGCAGGAATTAAGGCTAGGATTTGATATAGAAATTATAGAGATAAATTTCTTGCTTTAAATAGCTTTTATAGATTGTGTAGATTCGTTCAGAAATACTTTGGTTATTCTAAGGTATTTCTATAGTATTTATTACTCACTATTCGGGTCATTCTCGTTTAGTGCCCCCCCCCCCCTTTTTATCGTATTAACGTAATACGAAGGTTGTGTTAGTGTAGTAATTCATTGTGAATTTGGGTGATTCCCGACTTCCTTTGAATTTTATTGTAATTGAATATTAATTAATACATATTGTGACTTTTATTTATTGAATAAATTTGTTAACTTTAAATAAGGCTTATCATTAAACTTCCCCGTAGTTATTTACGAGTCCAAACACAGGTTATTCTTGTGTTATTATAGGAGATCTATATTTACGGGTCATTCTCGGAAATAATCACAGTACTACATGGGTTACTCCCGTGTAGGCTTCTGAGGAGTACTTGTGCGTGAGATCCAAGCAGCTCAGGTCCGTTACATGCCCCAGCCATTACCTACCCTAACCATGAAGGATTATTTATCCTTGATGCTGATAATGCTAATAGTGCGTTAGACACTATACCCTCTCAAGGACAGAGTAATGTAGAAAAATCATCTATGCTGTACCCTACACTAAGCGAGCCATCCCTAGTTCATACCTTGAGGAATCCTTCCAGGTCGAGTGATGTAATTCCGGATATGGATCCTGACCATTTTCCGATGATGCTGAATTCGAAATAAGTGGACGTGTGCTGGACTTTTTGGACATTTCAAAGGAATATATTATGTAACTGTGTTAATTGTATAAAAAATGTGGATATTTGTGAAATCAGGACACTGGTGGTATGCAGATTTGTGATTCGTCCCTGTCGTGACTTTTCCATTTCAGTGGATCCAGGAAGTGATGACAGATGAACTGTGATAAATAAAAACATTGTTTTATATAATATTTTGGTAAAAGTTAAGTATTGATATTTGACTAACTGTTATTCATATTATGGTTATTCATGTCTATGATTATAACTTGTTGACCACATTGTGTTTATTGATAATGATATTTGTGGCCCATGATTATGTTTATTGCAAACTTTACTCATTGACTATGTTTCACTTACATGGCGATATTCCCATGAAAACTAGTCACCAAAATGAGATTTGATAAAACGACGAATGTTTTCATGGAAGGGGGGCTGTGTTACAGATTTTCCCCTTACCTAAAACAACCCACGAGATTGGATCACCCAATTTATGCCCTAGACATTAAATCTGTATGTCGTAATTTTGTTTGTATATATCATGGGAATATCACCAATCATCGTATGTTATTAATGTATGCTTTATAATTTATCGTATATGTTTATTTCATGAATATTGTTTGGTTGTATAGTACAAACCCGAATTTCCTCCATTGATTAATCCTATCGTAATGATTAATGGCCACCTGGCATTGTTATTCTACTCATGTAACTCAAAATACACTTGGCATCATCTCCAAAGTAATCCCAAACCAATAATTCGTCCTTTTCCAGCGTTTGTAATACTTTTTAAAGCCTTGTTTACTTGGTGCAAAGTTGTTGACAAATGTCGCGCGAATAATGGCGGCACCGCACGTTATTCGCGCGTGGAGTATTTCGCACCTACCAACCAAAAGGTATATAATAAACGCTCCGAGAGAAAATCGCCAGTAGTGCTTGCGCTGCTCAACCAGGCATGGTGCCTTCAGTGCCCATCAGACTGGTACTCTACCCATAGGTACGTTTTGTACCATTAGTTTGGGTAGGCTGATGCCATTACAAACCCAGTGATTTTGGGTCCCCATCCTTTTTCTGGGTAAACTCACCAGATTATGGGTAAAACACCCATTTTGTGAGTAAAACACCCATTTTCCCCAGTATTTGCCACTTTTTGTTGATTTTGGCCACATTTTAGTAAATTCCTGACTTTTTAGCTGTTTTTCTTGATTTTTAGTAAATTTATAGAAAATTGACCATCTTTTCTTATTATTGGGTAAATTTCAGAAATAAGAGACCCACATATAATTTCTGTAACGGGGTAAACCATAGAGTGGTAAAAGAATACGAAGTATTCAAAAGCCACCACTACACCCAGAAACGTTACACTTGCTAGTTACATTTTGTAGCAGACTCTTGGACAAACATGTTCAATGTCATTTGCCATATGTTTGTAATGATAGGAATATGACAAAAACTTAGAATGTATTGGCAAAAAGAGACCGACTCCCTTTCACAGATTGAGAAAACCAGAGAATTTGAGTACCTCATCTGAACATATACATATTTTACACTGAATTAGAGAAGTGAGAATCTTGTGCGGTTAAATAGCTACAAATACTACATTTTTATTTTCAGTATGAGTGTAGTAACACTGCTGGTCTGGTGTTATCTGTACATGGAATAAGTTATCATTAATACAGATATTACATTTTGTTTTCAGTATGAGTGTAGTAACACTGCTGGTCTAGTGTTATCTACATTAAATGATTTATCATTAATACAGATATTACATTTTGTTTTCAGTATGAGTGTAGTAACACTGCTGGTCTAGTGTTATCTGTACATTAAATGATTTATCATTACTACAGATATTACGTTTTGTTTTCAGTATGAGTGTAGTAACACTGCTGGTCTAGTGTTATCTGTACATTAAATGATTTATCATTACTACAGATATTACATTTTGTTTTCAGTATGAGTGTAGTAACACTGCTGGTCTAGTGTTATCTGTACATTAAATGATTTATCATTACTACAGATATTACGTTTTGTTTTCAGTATGAGTGTAGTAACACTGCTGGTCTAGTGTTATCTGTACATTAAATGATTTATCATTACTACAGATATTACATTTTGTTTTCAGTATGAGTGTAGTAACACTGCTGGTCTAGTGTTATCTGTACATTAAATGATTTATCATTACTACAGATATTACATTTTGTTTTCAGTATGAGTGTAGTAACACTGCTGGTCTAGTGTTATCTGTACATTAAATGATTTATCATTACTACAGATATTACATTTTGTTTTCAGTATGAGTGTAGTAACACTGCTGGTCTAGTGTTATCTGTACAAGGAATGAGTTACCAATGTCTACAGACAGGACAGAGGATCCGAGTACGATTTGTCTCCAAGTACTTCCTCCACAATGGATACATTGTATGTCCACATTGTCCAGATGTTTGTCAGGTGAGTACCCAATAATATGTGTGTTACCTCCACGCAGGATACATTGTGTGTCCACATTGTCCAGATGTTTGTCAGGTGAGTACCCAATAATATGTGTGTTACCTCCACGCAGGATACATTGTGTGTCCACATTGTCCAGATGTCTGTCAGGTAAGTTACATGTGTATTACCTCCATACAGGATACATCGTGTGTCCACATTGTCCAGATGTTTGTCAGGTAAGTTTATACTTGTGTATTACTCCACACGGGATACATTCGTTGTCCAGATGTTTGTCAGGTGAGCTGTATGTGTTCTTTATTAGGTCACCTGAGTAAACTCAGATGACCTATTGCTATCCGTTTTCGTCCGTCGTGTGTTAACATTTGAACATTTTCAGCTTCATCTCTGAAACCACTGAACCAATTTCAACCAAATTTGGTATACAGCATCTATGGGTGAAGGGGAACAAAACTTGTGAATTTTATGCTCCCCGCCCCCCTGGGGCCTTAGGGGTGGGGCCAAAACCACTCAAATTAATGTAATCTTTAAAAATCCTCTTCTTTACTCCTGGACATCAAGCAGTCAAACTGTTTGCATGATTGTAATCAGCATTGAGTCCTCTACCAAAATTGTGAAATTCAGGGCCCTGGGGTCAGGGGTTCTAGTGCTAGGGTGGGGCTAAAAAAGTATATAGTGAAAAAGCATTATTTATTTGAAAATCTTCCTCTTTGCTCCTGGGCATTAAATAAACTTAATTAGTGCAAAGTTATGATGAGCAAGAGTGCCTTTACCAAAATTGTGAATTTTATGGCCCCAGGGTCAGGGGTTCTGGAGTTAGGGTGGGGCTCTATTGATTATATAGTGAAAATACATGAATTCTTTGAAAATGTTCTTCTCTGCTCCTAGGTATTAAATAAACTAACTAAATGCATAGTTATGATGAACAAGAGTGCCTTTACCAAAATTGTGAATTTTATGGCCCCAGGGTCAGGGGTTCTGGTGTTAGGGTGGGGCTCTATTGATTATATAGTGAAAATACATGAATTCTTTGAAAATGATCTTCTCTGCTCCTAGGTATTAAATAAACTAACTAAGTGCATAGTTATGATGAGCAAGAGTGCCTTTACCAAAATTGTGAATTTTATGGCCCCAGGGTCAGGGGTTCTGGTGTTAAGGTGGGGCTCTATTGATTATATAGTGAAAATATATTAAATCTTTGAAAATTTTCTTCTCTGCTCCTGGGTATTAAGCAGATGAACTACCTATATAGTTATGATGAGCAAGGGCCTTAAGAATTGTGAATTTCAAGGCTCCAGGGTCAGGGGAACCATGGGGGGGGGGCTGTACTTACATATACTAAAAAAGAATGGTTTGAAATCTGCTCCTTGGTATTAATCAAATATTTTTGAAAAGCAAGGATGCATTTTCAAGAATTGTCAATGTGTGGATCTAAGCCTAAGGGTCAGGGGTTCATGTGTGGTAGGGGCACTACTGATTATAGCTGAATATTACTGATTAGTTGAGATATATTTTTTGTTCCCCTACCCTGCCTATGTGTATTAAGTAACCAAACTAAGCAACCGCTAAGTGTATAATTATGATGATCAATGGTGCCTCTTTCAAAATTGTGAATGCCATAGCATCTGGCTTAAAACATGAATCAAATTCAATCACTGGAATGTTGTTGCATAATGCTCAGGTGACCTATAAGGCCCATGGGCCTTTTGTTTGTTATTGTCTGGGTCAGTCTTGTGTCTGAGGCTATATTTCTTCAGAAATTGCAACAGTCAGTTGAATTAATTTTTTTCTCTTTGGATGAGATTTTTTTTAGAGCAAAAATTAAATAAACATTTAAGTATATTATGAAAGTTTTTTCTTCTGAAAGATATTACTTTTTTTCTCATTCAAAAATTTAAAAATTGTAATTTCTGATTTTCTTTTATTGCAGGAGAGAGGAGTTCTTTGTCCTAAACAAGTAGTGCCCTATGACATAGTCAATAACAATGTACCAGATCTATATATCCCTTGTGGTGCCAAATCTTATCTCCATCGATCTAGTATAAGTTTCATCATCATTATTTTAATAAATATGCTGTGGTTACCTTTATCACAGATGGCAATGTAAATATAGGATAGTACAATCTCCTCTCTTCCTGGCTTACATATCACTATCATGAGTGTGATTTGGCTGCATTTGTGGAATGATAACAAGGTCTTTAAGTTGATTTGTGTATACACGTACATGTGTTACATTTAAACTAATTACAGTTGTAGACTGTATGAGTTTTACCTATTGTCGTCAAGATAAATGCATTTTTTTTAATTTTCTTTCATACACATGTAACTTCATTTTTATCATGCTTCTGTAGATAACAAATGCCGGTTTTGTGTTCAGTGCACAGATATTCAGGGATTGTGATCTGATTTACAACAACATTGATGAATTTTGTCATTTTAGGGTTGTTTTTCATACTGCATGTATTTGATTTATTTTAAAAACATTTACCTCCTTTAAATTAGATAAATTTAAGATAAATGGACAAGATACACGTATATTGTTAATCAAATTTGATTTACGTACATGAGTTTCAAAATTTTCAACTTTCACACTTCGAACAGAATTGCAAAGAGATATATGTACTCATAATACCGATCGATTCACAGAAAAATGAAGGGAAAAATAGAAAAGTTAGACTGTGAATATATCAGTACACTTAATTGTTTGCAAACAAATGAAAGGTTGGAAGAATCTACTAGTATTTAAAAGTATTAATTAGAAGATCAAACAATTTTTGTCTCTGCAGTTGAAGTGTTTTTAGTGCATTCTGTGCTCATTTATATAAATGTTTATTACCTATTTGTAACCACTTTTACCCTTTTTATATTGAAAATGTGTGAATACATGTAATTTTATATGCTTCCACAATTATACTTTCATGCATGTGCAATGGTTTTATATTTATCCAGCATGTATTAGTTGACTTTTTAAAACTTGTAACAATTGTTATTCACATATTTACAAGCTGTAAGTAAGGAATGAAGTTTGAGGATGAGGAAGAAAAGGACCAAACTTACCGGTTAATGATTTATCAAGGATGGAAACCAAGAACTTTAAATGATGTCTAAAAAAATCAAAAAATGTTTTTCTTTCTGAGTTTTATTTTTATAGAATTTATCTTTGTTCATTATTAAAGATGTGTTGATAAAATTCAAAAAATATGTATTTAATTAACATCTTACTTGGTATACAGCATGCTGTTGATTATAAAAACAAACTTGTTTTTTCATCCTTTTTGAATCCAAAATATTCTGAACTTTTTTTTTAATACCTTTTTCTTGATTTTTTTTATCGGTACTATTTTTCTAAAGCAGAAAAAGCATATAAGTATGTCTGTTTCACAGGTGTATTGCTTGAAGTTGTGCTGCAAATATATGTGTCAAATGATCAGTACAAAGTTATTGTTACAGATAGTTTGGAAAGAATAAGTGTGCAATTGACCTTCCCAATAAAAAAAATATCAGTGAAGAAAATATAAGCAGTTTCTCTGGACGGTGACAAAATTGTGATAAAAATGGAGCATTTTTCATTCCAGTGTCTTTTGTGTCCATTTTAGATTTCTGAGTATTATTACTTTATTCAGGATTTTTTTGTTATTTTTAAATATTTTATTTTGGAATATTACAGTGTAGATATTTTAATTACATGTACTTTATTTTAGAATGGGGTGATACATGTGATGTTTTAATTGAGATATGTAGATTCTTGTGTGTAATGTTTGATTTTAGTCCAATGTTGTGCCATTTTTGTACATAGTATTTGCATGTATTTATACTAGTCTTATTTTTCTACCAGTACATGTACCAATGTTCAATTTATAATGATAATGAAGCCAGTAGTTAACGATTATACCAAATATTAGTCTTTTTCAAAGTTATGATAATACATGTATCATTAATGTACTTTTCAGTTTTATTGATATTTTATTGTTTCGGGTTCTTTTATACAGTAAATCTCGCTTACAACCAAATGCCAGTCCTTCATTGTAAATGTAAGCCGTTGTATCTGTTAGTTTAAAACTCTAAGGGAATGAAATCACTTTGCTCTAAGTGTCAAATCATTACAAGCATGTTATACTTTAGATGAGAGTACAATATGAGTTATACATACTAGGAAGTATATACCGGTATGATGGTTCATTTTATAAAGAATCATTTCTTTTTTTTTCCCTTAAAGCTTTCAGTACTCTTTAATGGCTTCAAAGTAAATTCAAAGCTTCTTCAAATTGATTTTCCAGAAGAAATGAAAACTGCTATAGATTTACTGTTGCATTCCATTTATTTATCAGAGAAAATGATCTCTCGACTTTGCATAATAATTTATAAAGAATTTAATGCATCTGATTAATGACACATTTATTTTACCTGTTACACTCGCATGTTCATGTAGTTGATCTGTTATAAAATTCAGCACACAAGTGTTAGTTGTTTTATTATAGAAAAAATTAATAACTATTGAATATTCAGAAAACAATTATTTAGAAGCAGTTAAGATGTGATGAAATGTATTAATTGTTGCATTATTATGATGAGCTTTGTTCTTAAAATACAGATTGTAAGTGTGTTTCTAAAACAGTAAGTGAATTAATTTTATATTTGCTTGGATATATGTATAATATCAAAAGAAACTGGAATGCATTAATAGATGTGAAGGTTGTATTTATTTGTCAATTTGTTAACGAAATAAAGATATTTTTCTATCTTATTCTGATTTTTTACCTAGTATATATTATAGATTCTTAGATTTTTAGATCACTACACGAGAACAAGCGACGCTGAACAAAAAATCTTGACTGGTGGTCAAATATATTATTTGTATCTCTTGGTATTTTAAAAACAATATTCATATTTTGTTATTCTCTTCTGATCTCTATATTGTTTTAAAATGTTTTTAAATATAAGTACACCAAAAATGGTGATATAGGCCATTCAGAAGGCCTATAAGGGTTATATAAGAAATGTCTCCCTGTGGTATCTTGTCCAGTTTTTACTATTCTTCAATGTCAAATTCTTAGGGAAAATTATATGTTTTTGAGGAACATGTCATCTGACCTTAAGCTTTATAAGCAGTGTTTACTGAATTGATAATTTGAAGCGACCTTGATTCCCCAAGAAGTAAAGGAGATACATGTAGTATTTAGTGGATGTAAATGTATAGGCATAATTATGAAGTAACTAACTTGACATTCATGAACAATATTTACTGTAAATGTTTTATGCCTCATTAGATTCGGATGGACTGGAGCTTAAGAACATGTACGTTCGATCTACAGGGTTGCCAACCTGGCACAGTGGTTAGAGCATCTCCTCGAGAGTCCCAGAATAAGGAGCTGATAAGTACATCCCGTGTTCATATCCACTGCAAGAGAAATCAGTCCTTGATATGAGACCCAATAAACCAAAGTCTTGTGTTGCAGTAGGTGTAATTGGCACCAAAAAAAATCTCTCACTGATCAATGGTCCCGAGTGCAGAGTATGTATAGGTATAAATCGCAGCCCTTCAAGTGTTTGTGTCTCCATATGAGTGAAAATTTTATGAATGGGATGTTAATCAGCAAACAAACAGATTTGCAGGGGGTTGGAGGTTTAAGACTTAAGGTCTAGCTGCTTTATTCTAAATATAAAAAAAACTTTGTGTATTAATGAAAAAAATTAAACTTCAATCAGTAATGGTCAAAGTAGAAATGTAGGAAAACAAAACCAACACAACAGTGTTACCAGTTCATGTTCAAAGTTGTGTGAAGAGCTAACAAATCGAACACACCCTGTAATATGTAAAACATTAACAATAGCAGAAATTGTGTCAATACTTTGTTGTTCAGTAATAATGTTGTTGTCACTTAATTATGAGAATTTTCATGTCAGTTCAGTTCACTTTAGATCAATATACAGCCCTTTAAAAAGATTAATTAAAGAAATTATTTATTTATTCATTTAACAAAATTTGGAAATCTAAAATTGTTAACAATAGAGTAATGCAACTGTGTCCTTGAGATATGGCTGAAGTTCTTTTAATGGATCTGAGTAGCAATGCCGAGAACGAAAAATACATTATTATTTGTTATCCTCGTAGGCTTCCATAACCTTTTTTGCAATCGACAATCCTCGGCTGACTCCGCTACGCTCTTTCCAGTGCGCGAGGTCACCCGAGGAGTTCCGAGTGCTCTTTTTGCGCCATTCTACTTTCACTTTCTTAAATGAATGAATAAATTTATGACATTAATTTAAACTAGAATAAATTCTAAATATATAACAGATATACAGATAGAATTTCATTTCCTTTTGAATAAACTATGTAGTAGCTTGACAGTTTAATACGTAAGTATATATATTGTTTTTAATCGTTTGTTGAATATTTTTTTCATACCACGACGTTTTAGCATTTAGCATTCTGTATATATCTCCACGTGGTACACAAAAGACATGTTTTAATGTTTATTTATTGTAATTTTCTTTTACAGAAACGACTCATTACTTCTTGAATCAGTTAACATACAAATAAGCAGAACAACGCAAATACATTCTTGTATGCAAGGGATCTTTTAAAAAGGTATTGTGCAGCTGTTGTGGGATGTTCGATTCATTTTCTCTCTATGTTTACATTTACTTTTGGCCATCACCCAGGATGACAGGGTTTTTCAGATCGATTTTTTAAATTTCAAGAAGCTAAACATGCTAAATATAATGCTTATCAGGATAGGACTTCTTGGAAAATAAAATAGAAAGTAGAGTATATAAATATCGCTACATAATTCATATCAGTACAGTACAGTTTTGGTAGTTATTGCCATGTAAGTACTGTCTGCTTATTTGGTTGAAATCATTTTAAATCTTAAGCTTTAAAATTTGGTGTACTTGACTATTTGGACATAATTTAATCCAGGGGGGTGTATGTACTTGTTTCAGTTTAAGTATTGATAATTATCCCTCTTGTTGACAGAAATCATCTGACATTTAACTTCCTTGTAGTAATACTACTGTAAGGAGAAATATTTAAATTTCAAGTAACAAACTTGATTTCATAAAGTTAGTGGTTCATCAAAAGGTGTGGTTAAAAAAATTGTGTACAGGTGAGTGAGGAACATGGAATTAGCTATAGGGAGAGGGTGTGGCTTTGGTTGAGCACATAAATTTACAGAATAACATAAATAAAAGGAATAACTGTCAGGGTTTTTTTTTTAATTTTGTTTTCTGATTGCGATTAAGCAATTGGCATATGTTATCATTTTATCCATAAACTCTTTCAGGCATTTATGTGAAAATTTTATGCATATTAAATGCTTTTGGGCATTTGTGCGAATTAACAGAGCAATTTGAAGCCAATTGCTTCATATCACATCATTAAAAAAAATAGTTATTCCTTAATTATGAGAAATTAAGGTGTTTTTAAATGTGTGAACACTGAACAACTTTGCTGCTATAACAGATAAGAAAGTGCATCTACATTTAATACTAATTTATTGAAATATTAGGTATTTTTAAATACATTCATTCATTTAAAGAGATTGTTCATAAAGATGAAAAAAAAACAGAACAACATAGCAATTTCTACTTCTGGTCATCTTTTTAATTTTACTTGTATCTCTGCATACAAAGTAAAATTAAGTTGTGATTATTTTAAACAATTTGCACAATACTTCATTAAAAATAATTGTTAAATATGATTTTAATTTCAGAAAATGTAAAAAAAAAAAAAAAATGGCAGAGAACAAGTACACAAAAAGGAGACTGAAACTAAAGCAGAATTTATACAAGTTACTCAAAGAGAGAGAACCTGATGGCATTCCAAAAGCACATCTATGGAACATCTATACCAGCAAAGTTGAGAAGGTCAGTGCTGCGTTTTATGGCACGGGGAAAATGCACAACCTTCTGGGTGACTTTGGTGACATGATTAATGAAGTAATGGAGAATGGAAGGCCGACAGTCCGTCTTGTTGAGGGGTATATTCCAGCTGGAGAAGACCCCCCAGATGTACAGATAGATAAAATATCATCATCTGAGTCAGAGGAGAACCATACTCAAGCAAAAGAAATCAAAGAGACAGCTAAAAGTACAGAGGGTACAAACAGTGGAGGCAGATCTACAGAGGAAGTGAGTGTGTTTTTTTATCCATGTTTATTTATTGATGCTCAGACTTCAATATCTCAAACTGCAATACAGTACATGTATGTCAATTACTACAGGTACATATATTTACGAGAATATCTGTGGTTCCAAGTGAGTTATGAATCAAATCTTAGCTGTTTTTGTAAATTTATAAATAAATGCTGAAGCAGAGTCATTGCTTAGCTTAAAAGTATTTTCAGTGGCAGATATATATCCAATTCAATGGAATAACAGGAATGACATATATTACTTTAAAGAACTAAAGAAGGTTATTCAATGTTAGTGTCTGCTTGAAAGAGAACTTCAGGATAATCTTTCTTATTGGTTTTAGGTACTGTACAGTAGAGCACAATCTACCAGTAGTTCTTCAACAACATCAAGTGTTCAGCAACCATTTCATCCATTACCCACTCCAAGCTTAGCCTACACATATGGACAACCACTCATACCCACAGCAGGTATCCCAATCTTACAACCTACACAACAGCTAGGGGCAGTCACTTCTCTGATGCCAAGACAGCTTATGATGGGAGGTATTGCAAGACCACAACTTAACACACTGCAGACCAATATCTCAGCTGCTGTGGGTCAGTTTTTGGCCCAGGCAAAACAGGCCAGTTCTACAGAGGGTAGGAATCCTGAGGAACCCTGCGTGGTGTCCTCCAGCAGTGAATCAGAGAGCGAATCAGATAGTGAAGAGTCTGAAGACTCAACAGTCGCAAGCAATCAAGCTTCAAAAACTCAAAGGAAAAAAGATGAATATAAATCTAAAATAGAGCAGACTCGTTCAGTGGTTAAGAAAAATATTGTGAGCTTGTTGGCTCATCATCCCAAGGGAATCAAAAAGAGTGAAATCTGGCAAAATTATTATCATCAATTCAAACAACAGCCAAACAAGATACAAGTGGGAGTTTCACAGCTAACCAAGGTTTTAGACTTGTTTGATGATGTAATTGAAGAAGTTCCAGATAATAATGGAATTCCCTACATTCAGCTCATTAATAGAGCACCAAGTGGGAGGAGTCAACTGACCCCAAGGTCTTCACGAACCAGCACCCCAGTGATAGATCTAACAAAAGATGAACCATCCTCAAGTCGGGGTAGCCTTGTGGATTTGACCAGGGACCAGAGTTCCTCTGGTTATATCCCTCTTTTACCCTCTCACCCAACACCAAGCATAAGAGGCCACCCTGGGGACTTTCAGGTGCAGTCTGCTTACTCTCAGCTCCAGCAAACACCAGGATTTGTCCTCCCTAGTGCCCCATCACAGGATTCTTCCTTGGCAGTTTGCCAGCTGGTGATCAGGCCTGTCAGTCTTAGGAAATTTGAACAAAAAGAAACCCATCTGCCAAGGGTGTGGAATAATGACAGGTATGGACGGTTCAACAAGGACCAAATTGAAAATGTCGCCAAGGAGTGCATCGAGGCCCTTGCCGAAGCAGACGAACATGTCAGTGTGGAAAGGGTGGAGAGTTTGATGTTACAAAGACTTAACAGAAGAAACATTGCTGAGCTGGGTTACTGGCGGTATGCCAACCAGATACCCTGTCTATTTGAACATAATAGACTACTCTGCAAGATTAATGCATACATACAAGCCTTTTTGAACACAAGATCCATATGCACTCTTCATGAACTGAAGTTATGCATGGCTGAATTTGCTCCAGATAAGGACAGTTTTGCTGCTCTACAAGTTGGTCCCCTCCAGCGACTCCCAATCATCTATCACAATTTCAAGTTTCCTACAGACATGGCTGATATCCCAGAAATCACTACATCTGATATTTTTGAGAATCTACGGAACTACTTGAATAAATACCAAAGGTGGAGCACCAAGAACGAGCTGGAGCCCTTTATGGAGTACTTGGTAGAGACCTATAGAGTGGAGAATGCTTACATCCTCGGTGTCCGAATACGCAGCTTACCTCTAGCTCTGCAGGTAACTTTTTCTTGACAATTGGCTATGCCAGTTTGTAGGAGGATTTTGTATATCAAATGGATCACTAAATATATTTAAAGTTGGTAATGAATTGACTGAATGTTATAACAATATTTAAAACTTGGCAGGTCTTGAAGAAATCGCAGAGAGATGCTGCTGGGACACGAAGAAGAGTCACAGAGGATACAAAGGAGACCCTGAAACAAGAGATAGAGCAGGTGTTCCACAGATTTAAGGCAGTCCTCATCAACAAGAGAGATGGACAAGGACAGGTAACTCCTCTCTATTATTATTTCTTTATTCCAAGTTTTCATTTTCCTAGAATGTTCCAAGTCATTAACATTGTCATTTACAGATCTAGAGAGATAAAAGTTATTGGAAATGTTTTTCCTTGGTTTTTTTTTTTTTTTTTTTTTTTTTTTTTTTTTTTTGAGCTTGAAAAAAGCAATGACTTTAAATTTTTGGTTTCTTTGCTTTACAACTAAAAAAGCCATGTAATAATTTTAAATTTTGTAATTAAGTTTTTCTTACAGCTTTACAGACCTGAAATACTTTGAATTTCTCGTTATAACCGTATAAGAAATTCATTAAATTTATATAGGAAGATTATTTTTTAAAGTGATGAGCTATATTGTTCTCTGTGATAGATCAGGGAGCACTACCTTAAGATCCGGCCCACTGAGGCTCTGAAGGAGATCTTTGATAAATACCGAACCTTGTGTAGCTCAGTAGAGGCCCCCGCAAACAAGATAGAGAGGCGAACCCTCACCAGGTTCACAGATACCATTAATGCTTTCCTTCAAGCAGTCACCGCTGATAGTTTTGGCCGGAATCTCTTCCACATAGCGATCTGTAGCAGTAAGACTGAGATAGACACGATACACAGACAGTTTCTAACTGAGGCCACCAAACCGAAGGAGGTGCCCGTTACTGTGAAAAAGAAACCCCCTCCAACTAAAGGTAAGGAATGCTTCCCATTAGACCAATAAAAACCATATAAATCGGAGTAAGTCCTGAAATAATAGAAAATATTAGAAAATAATAAAAATTCCTGCTAATAACAAGGAATTTAACTGGTCTGAATAATCTTTTGGACAGATGATGTTGAGATAATTTTTTTTTTTATTTTGTCCTAGATTCCATCATTAAACTTCTAAAGACTTTCCTTGAAAAATGTCAGAACCATGGAGCACTTACATTAAAACATCTGGACAATATTGAGGAAAGAATTACAGACCATTTTGAATTTGAATCATTTATGGCCATGGGATATGGTCGATTCCTAGAATTTCTCATACAGGAAACCAAAAAAGTAAAATACATTTATCTTGCATTTTATTATTATTAAATGCAAAGCCAGATTTAAAATATAAAATGAAATTATGTTAATTTACTCTTGTGACAATTTCATGCACTAAAAATTACTTTTGTAATTAAGTTTTTGTCACTTCACAGGAACTAGATGACTGTGGAGGCACCAGTTTAGGGACAGGAGGAGGACATGGTGATGCTGCCGGGGGTTATCTCCCTTCCCTTACTCACATTCTGGAGTTCATCCACCAGTGCAAACAGAGTAACACTACACAGGTACCTGGAGAATAGAATCTATTTAGGAATGTACATAGAAGAAAAATATCTCAGTATGGTTCTTGTACAGTCAAACATGTGCCTGAATACATGTACTGTATGCAGGTATATCATGGAATAGCTAAGTAGTTGTAATGCATGTGTATCTCAATTTACAAACTTTTTTTGCCTTTGAAAAAGAAGGATAGGGACCTTTTGTACCAGGGTTATTTATCTTTGTATAACATCTTTCACAAATGTGACCTTGATCATAAGGTTAGATAGACTTCTATTGTGACCACATTAAGAAGTAAGGTCAAAGATCCAATCACTTTAATTAATACTTCATTTGAACATTTCTTCATGACAAACAGTTTGATTGTAATGCACTGCATATGCACTAGAAAACAAATAATGTCAGCTAAATACATGTAACATAAGTATGTTTCTTATTAGGAGGAAAAGATTCAGCAAGCATTATGTCACCAGTTCTCTGTGAAGGAGGTCAAACAACTGGGACACGGGACATCCTCACGTTTGATTGGTTTAGCTGACAGGCCCGGGAAACATGTGTCCAATCAACACTGTGTGGTGTACGAAGCTGCAGTTATTCCACCAGAAAGGTAAAGCTTGTTTTCATTCAGGCATTTCTGAGAATACCAACTGCATTATACAAATTGATTATGATATTGTTTGATAAAAAATGATATTATACAATTATGGACTTCATTGTAGGTCGATATGTGGTTATAAGGACTCATGGCAATTGATATTGACCGAAGACACATTTTCTGTGTCTGAGGTCAATATCAATTGTCATGAGTCCTTATAACCACATGTTGATCGTTAACTGAAGTCCATAATAGTTATATTATATAATCACACAAAGTGAATGCACCGACATAGACCTAACTAAACGGATTTGGCTGTCATTACGTCACAATGGTTAAAAACACGCTTCTTATATTATGACGTCACGTTCTACGTAACTTCAGTGCAACCGAACGGCGTGTCGTGTGATATCATTTTCTACGGACGCGCTTTCACGTCGCTATCGCAAAAGGAGGAATATCATGTGACGTCCTTTCGGCCAAGGAAAATTACAAAAATAATCTTCTTATTTAATATTGCTTAATATAAAACATTTTTTTTTTTGGGGGGGGGTAAGATTTTGGGATACAATTGGATAAATGTGTAAATCACAAAACTCTAGTTACATTACTATATTTTATGGATTTCTTTATGCAAAGTTTTGAGGTGAAAGGTCAGACTGGAATTCTGGGACACCAGACAAAGGAAGCAGCCCTTGCCTGTTTGAATAATTGTCCTCTGTTGGAAAACATGGCAGATTGGAGTCAGTGGTCTCTTGTGTTTGAGCCACAGCTGGGGAAGTTACGTGACTTTATTCAGAAGTACGGAGAATGCCAAACATGGCCAGTAGAGGGTATGTATATAAATCAAATACCAGTAGTGAGAATATGGGAGGAAGGGACTATTACATTTAATATAAAATAGTTTACAAAAAAATGTCAAAACTGATTGAAGAAAATGGTTTCAAATGTACAGGTGGATCCAAGATCATGAACACAGATTTTATAGCTTTGGAGAGATCTCCTGGTCAGTACCTGAAACTTGTATCTAGCTCTTCCCCAGAAAAGTTCTGTGTGGCCCTCCGTAACAGAATAGCTCGTGATGTGAGTGGACACCTCATGTCAATGGTGGTCCAGAATAAAGGTGTGGAGAACACCCCAGTAGCTCTGCTGGCTAATCATGTCAGGGAGGAACTCTTCAAAATGCATGGGGAAGCCTCCAAAGACAGTGTGCCAGGTAGGACAGAATAATGATTTTTCTGTTTGTCATGGGGAAATTTGTAATGCTTGAAAGTTGGTTTTTATCTGATATTTTTGTCTTTTAGGGGCACCATCGAGTTGTCAGCCAGCAGAAACTGCTGTACACTTTATTCTGGAATGTTTGTCAATTTTACCTGTCAAAACCTGCTCTGTTTTGGCTTCACAGGTACTTGTTGCACTTTTATTGTATGGAACACAATAATTATGCTATTAAAAACTAAAAAATAAGAGAAGCTTTAGACTTTCTTCCTATTTTTACAGATGTTTCTGGACCCGCTTGGTCAGGTGATAGGACAATCTAAATCTAAGACCATGCTCCTCCAGTCATGTGTGACCTTGACCCAGTTAAGCCGGCTCCAGCAGCTGGGCTGCCTCCTGGGCGTGGCTGAGTGGATGGACAGTATCCACGCTCGCTGTCAACCGATGCCCTCTTCTCTACAAGAGGTGGCTCCAGAGGTTGCTGAAGAGTTCTTCAAAGATGAGCCTGAGGTCAGAAAAGGAAGAGTTTGCAGATGTTTGTTGTGTTCATTTCTCAGTTGCCAATGTATGCATTCAGGAGCTTCTTTCTTGCAGGTCATTGAAGAAAGTGAAGATGAGGAAGACTCTTCATCCTACTTGTCAGACGTGGAGTTGGAGACGGAGGTCAAAGGTCAGGAGGAAGATGAGATGATTGTGGTGGATGAGTGCACAGAAATGGAAGATGGAGATGTTACAGAAGATACAAAAACAAAAGAAGCCAGCATTGGTACTTGTGCATATGATTTGATTTTTAGGCTGATATAGAGCTGCTAAATTTTTAGTTCACTTGAGCTGAAGGCTTCACTAAATGAGCCATATTAAAAGAAACATTTAGAATTGATACACACTTAGTTATTTCTTCATAGCATCTTTACAATTACAATGTATAAAAGTGTCCTGTGAAATCACTAATTTTCGTGGGTGTTTAATTTTCGTGGTTTTCAAAGTATTTAGAGACCTACAAATTTATATCCACCACGAAATGCAACTTTTCACATATATTACTACTGAACAATTATTCAACCACAAAGTCAAATCCCAATGAAACAATTTTCCTCAAACCTCGAAAACTTGACCCCTTGAAAATATGTGATTTTACAGTATATGATTTAAATCTAGATTGTAATGATGTATCCATATTATATGAGAAATCCACATAAAACAATTTTCAGATCTAACTGTAAAGTCGGAGGACACTGTCATTGATCTGCTGTCTCCTGAGAACATTACAGAGGAAGCAGCATCGACAGTTACCAAGGAGACAGATATAGAGCAGACGTGTCGGGGAATTGTCAATCAGATCAGGAGGGAGGAGTTTGGGATTGGGGTGGAGCTAAATGAAGACGGACAGAGACTGATGAGAGTCCAGCAGGAGAGACTGGGGCGGAGCCTGGACAGACTGTCTAAAGATCTCTACAGCAAGGACACACACTTTGTACTGGGTAAGATCTCTACAGCAAGGACACACACTTTGTACTGGGTAAGCTCTCTACAGCAAAGACACACACTTTGTACTGGGTAAGGACAGGAAGGAGCAGAACTTATACTAGAGAAATTTTGAAGGCAGCCATTACTTTTGCAAAAAAAAACACAAGATTTGTTTGTGAAACACTATACGCCCGGGGGCAACAAAGTTCTAAAAAGCGATTTTTAGCAAATGGGTCTCAGTCAAGGTCACACGATCATTGTCCTTGGTGTCAGTTTAAAGTGCTTAATTAGTAGAGTATGCATACCAAATATGAAGTCTCTATCTCTCAAGGTTCAAAAGTTGTGACGAAAGTTCGAAAAAGCTATTTTTAGCATGAAGGTCAAATTCACAAGGTCATTGACCTTGGTGTCAGTTGAAAGTGCTTAAGGAGGCTCATTACACCACTATTTGATGACGTACTACACAAAAAAATAAACCTCCATTGTGTCGACCGGTTTCCTCTGGGGACAAATTGTATAGGTACCTCTATGATATGACCCTGACCTTTTAAACGCTTTAAAAATAGATGAAACATGCGGTGTTATTAAAAGTGAAAACAAAGTAACGGATTCATAATGCACAAACCAAGAAGAATTGCTTTTAAGCAGGAACAAAAGAAAACAACAGTCAAATCTTCGCCAAACAAGTAATGTCAATTTCATAGCGATGCATGCATGCAGTGAGCTCTATCAATCAATGACATGTTTGTATGGAGGAAATTCGAGTTAAAATCTACACCTTGTTGAAATTAAAAAATTATTTACTTGCATTATTTACTGTGTTGGTGTTAATTTATATATTTGCTATATTGATTTAAATTTATACTCTGGCAATTTAAAGCTTTGTTCTGAAGTTTAGATGTAATGTCAAACGTTCCTTCGTGTTTTGAGTCTTGGGTAATTAGGAAAGATACAAGGGTTGATCCAAAAGTAATGTCACTGTGTCAATATCTTTAATATTTGGCGTCATATGATCAAATATTTTATACCAAAAGATGCATAAAAATAAATCTAATCAAACTTGAAATTTTCAATGAATAACGTTTAATTAAATTAATTTTATAGACGTTTAAAATATTAAACATAAGGGGTGTCACCGCGTCACAAGTAAGCGTCACGTTTTAAAGTGTAAATTCTTAGAAGTGAGAAAAGACAAACGCATTAAAAAACATCTATAAAAGCATCTAATCGCTCAATATTTTTAAAAGACAAAATTTTTCGACATTTTCTAGTATTAAGTTGAAAAAAAATGACGTCATTGCTTTTTGATATTAAACATTGTTGTTTCTTATCTGTTGTATTGAACAAAGGAAATGTCGAAATGGAGATTAACCGCTGAAACGAGCTGTGGTGCATTTTTGCTACAAAATGGGGAAATCGCCCGTAGAAACAGTTACGATGATTAATCAGACATACAGAGGAGATAATATAAATAAAAGACTTGTTTATAAATGGTTTCAGCGATTTTAGCGGTTCATGGGTCACTGAATGATCAGGAAAGGACAGAAAGACCGAATAAGGGAGGTCGGACGGAAATGTTCACTTGTGTCTGACGGTGTCCAAAAATAAAGACGGTTAGACAGTTACAGCGATATGAGAAACTATATGGTACCATATGGTACTATTCAAGAATTTTGACAGAAGACTAAATTATATATAGAGTGAGTGTACAATGGGTGCCAATAATTCTTATAAAAAGATGTGTGAATGTGTTCGTAAATCTCAAATATTTGTATACGAAACAAAGGGTAAGCGTTCAAGTGTATGACGGCGCGTATCCGTCATATGACATTATCTAGGTGCGGCGACTACCATAATTGCACTTTGTATATAATTCGATATTTTAAAAAGTATAAATCATTTTAATTTGAATTTTTCAGGACTGATTTGTAATAAATATAGCTTCAATCTTGTATAATGTCATTGACTTACGTCGTCTAGTAGAAATTTTATCGAAGTTGTGACATTACTTTTGGATCAACCCTTGTAACTCTTAAAAGTGGACTTTTTATTCCAAATATTTTTTAAATTGGATTTTTCATTTCGTTTAAACATTCTTCATTCAATTTGACACATGTAATTCATTGAACTACATTCCTTGTTTCTTCAGAATTCATTTTCTTAATGTTTTATGCATAGATTAAAAAGATAATGACATTAATTGTTTTTTTAGGAGAAAATTATTTTTTTTAATAAAATTATTATTAAGTATTATAAGGTATTTTCACTGTGTGTACTTGTCTTAAGAAGATGCCCATCATTTGACACTGAAAGTTCAGAAATTCTGTTAATAATAAACTTGAAATAAAACATTTCACTAAAATTAGACAAAAACTAAAATATTCTGTAAAAAATATTTATGATATCAATACCCCCATCTGGATATTTGACATCTACATAATAAGTGGTGCTGTATTGAAATCTAAAATAAACTGTGGATGTAATGAGCCACCTTAATTAGTGGAGTATGAATAGCAAAGTCTCTTTCTCTCATGGTTCAAAAGTTATGGCGAAAGTTCGAAAAAGTTATTTTTAACATAAAGGTCACAGTCAAGGTCACAAGGTCATTGACCTTGGTGTCAGTTGAAAGTGTTTAATTAGTGGAGTATGCATACCAAATATGAAGTCTCTATCTCTCACTGTTCAAAAGTTATGGCAAAGGTTAAAGTTGACAACAGACAGACAAACAGCTAACCAGACAAACAGCTGGACAAACAGACAGACAGGACAAAAACGATATACGCCCCAAATAAATTCGGGCACATAATAATAAGATCTTTAATAAAACAGTGTAATTTGAGAATTACATTGTTTTGAGGGAACTAGAATTTTCTGCATGTTCATTTTTGAAAACTTAGGATAAATATTTCAAAGTTCTTCAAGGCAAGCATAATAAATTGTTTTTTTTTTTTTCTTTCTTAGAACTGATTCAGAATGCAGATGACAACAGTTACCCTGATGACTTACAGAAGAACAATTGTCCATCAGTCCAGTTCATAATGAAACCAGATGGGGTAGTGATTCTGAACAATGAGACAGGATTCCAGGAGAAGAACATCCGTGCTCTGTGTGATGTGGGGAGGAGTACCAAGGGCAAGCATAAGGCTGGGTACATAGGTAGGTTTATAGATAAAATACTTTTATTATATTAGAGGAATCAATAAAACAGTATTGATATTAAAAGGAATGAATGAAACACTATGATAGATCTTTTCTGTACTTTTCATAAGTTTCCCTCTTTCTTTCATGCTCTGTATTGATAATTAAAGTAACCATTTACAAACAACCATGTGTGTATATACTGATTCAATTGCTAATATCAAAGATTATATTTTTCTTTGTAGATCATTTACTGATATGTATGACAGAGTTAAACAATCAAGCTCTTGTATTCAATTTGATAACTGTAGGTCAGAAAGGCATTGGATTTAAGTCGGTATTCCGTGTGACAGATGAACCAGAAGTCCACTCTAATGGCTTCCACATCAAGTTTGATGTTCAGTCGGGGCCAACAGGCTATATCCTCCCACACTGGGTGGAAGAAGACAAATGGCAGGAGGGGGAGGGGTAAGCTATATATTATAAAACCAATAATAATTCAGTTACAGTAGTTTTTAAAAAAAATCCTCAAATTTCAAATAACTCACTGTGTAATTTTTTTTTTTTTTTGAGGATATAATGGTGTTTCTCTTGTAGCTGGATGACAAAAATAGTTTTACCAATAAAAGATTCCATGAAGTCCCAAATGCGAACACTTGCAGCTAGGTTTCATGATATCCACCCCTCTCTGCTGCTGTTTTTGAATCGCCTGCGACAGATCACAATTGAGAATCGCGTGGAAGATGTCGTGCAGGAGATAAGGAGGAGAGACCTCGGAGATAACGTGGTGGAGATCATGGAAAACAGCAAAGTGGAGAGGTGGCTGGTGGTCAAGAAACGACTGGACGCCTCGACAATATCATTACAGGTCAGTCAGTGAGTTGTCAACTACAATCAATGGAAATCAAAAGGATAATGTCTAATAGCAAATTTCTTACAAAGAGCTTTATGTATTTCAAGAACATTGTCTTACAGGCCAAATCAGGGGTAGAGGTAGAATCAACAGAAATAGCTCTTGCCTTCCCACTCAGACCAGCAGGACAAAAGAAAGACAGCAAAGTACCATCTTCATTTATTTGCTCTTTTCTTTGTTTATTTTGCTATAAAATTAAAATTACATTATACCAAAAGATATTTTTCTGAACATATAAACCACTAATAGCTGTTTGATTTATTGTTAGTTTGTTCCACCAAAGCAGCCAGTGTTTGCTTTTCTTCCTCTCAGGAGTTATGGATTTCGTTTCATCATTCAAGGTATAACCTCTGTTCAGGATTTTGTATACCTCAGTAAGACCTCTTTTGAGTGTTCTTCAGAGCTCATGTATCTCTTTATCTTACAGGTGACTTTGACGTTCCGTCCAGTCGTGAGGACGTGGATCGGGACAGTTCCTGGAACCAGTGGCTTCGTAACGAGCTCCATGTCCTATTTATAGAAGCTTTGGAAGTATTCAAGGTAGACACACTCTGTAAAGGGATATATTTACACAATTTTATTCTCTTCCCTTTCCACTATCTACAAGTAAGTAAATATACAAGTTAAATAGGACATGAAAGAAGATAAACTTTGTAATCAGATATATTTCTGTAGCATAACATGTCTGAATTAAAATAGAGCAAAACTATTCTTACGTTTGAAAATGATACCAGGCAAAATAACCCTTTCTACAGTATACCAGTTTACATGATGAAAAACTCACTTTCGTACTGAGATATCTTCATCCAGTTTGAATGTTTTACAGAATCATGCTGACTTCTCCAATGTGGAGGCTGTGACTTCCTTCTTACAGTTTGTCCCTGTGGAGGATGAAATCATTGATTTCTTCAGACCGGTAGCCAATCAAATTCTCCAGAAACTACGGGCCAAACAGTGTGTCCCCACTCAACCCAACAGCAAGGGTAACAGACTTATTGCATTGGTTAATTTAGTCACTCTAACAATTTAGCCTTTGATTTAATGTTTATGGCTGTATGCCGACATGGTAATTGTCAATAAAGTGAATTGAATTAAATTTTAAATGGCTCTCAAGTTTCTCTTACTAATGTAAATACATGTACCTACATGTATGTCTTGAAGGCTTGTAAAACATGTTAATTTGAAAGGAACAAGATGAGAATACTTGTACAAATATTTCTTCATCACCAGGCAAATGTTCATGGAAGATTCCCTCCCAGACTGTGACTGTAAAAGACCCTTTAGTCCTAGAGGTTGTGACCCCTGACCTTTTGAAGGACACTCTTAATCTGTTTTACCTTCATCGAGATGTGGCAGCCATGTTAAATTCCTCCTTGACCCTGAGTCTGGGTATAGAGTCTTTGAACACAGAACACCTGCTACTGATAGGAAAGTCAATGCTACAGCAGTGGTCAGCCAGTCAGGAAACTACTGATACAGGTATGGACATAGCTTTATACATTAACTACAGCAGTGGTCAGCCAGTCAGGAAACTACTGATAAATGTATGGACATAGCTTTATACATTAACTACAGCAGTGATCAGCCAGTCAGGAAACTACTGATACAGGTATAGAAATAGCTTTATGCATTAAAACAGCATAGGGGTTCTCTTGTGGGAGCAAAATAGGAATACACCATTTAGAAACAGAAGTTAGACAATTGATGCTTGTGTTTAATTCAATAGAGAAGCACAGATTACATGGAATCATCTTGAGGGGGAGGGGGGGGGGGGCAATATTAGTGGTTTCCATGAGTCACCCTTGCCCATGAATTTGTACCATTTAAAAAAAACATTTCCACTGAAAAACAAAATAAAAAGATAACACCATATTTAACTCTTCATCTTGTCTTTTACACAGATGAAAGTGTTCTGATGACAGCTAAGTGGATGGCCTGTGTCTACAGGAGCCTGGATGAGTTCTCAGATAACCAGTCTGTGTATGACACACTGAGGGCCATGAAGATCATACCCCTGGCCTCCCTCCAGAGACAGTGTACTAATGACAGCACCATCTTCTTCCCACTGTCAGAAAACACAGGATCTAGTCAAAATGGTGAGGGGAAAATCTCCTAGATGACATTATTTCAAAATTTCTTGACACTATCTTACTTTTAAATGTGTATTTCTATCAGTTTTGCTTACAATGTGTACTAAATACATGTACTTGTACGTACAAACTGAGTGTAGGGCATTTTTAGCTCTACTGGTCAGAGACCAGAAGAGCTTATGCGATAGTAATGCGTCCGTCGTCCGTCCGTCTGTCTAGCTGTCTGTCCGTCTGTCTGTCTGTAAACAATTTTTCAAAATGCTACTCCTCCTACAGTTTTGATCTGATTTCAGTATAACTTGGCACACAAGTAGACTACACTAAGATACACAATTCTGTGTATCGGTTTTTGATTTCGATGAACGGTGTTGCCGTGGTTACTAAAAATAGAAATTTCTGTGAAATTCTTTCAAAATGCTACTCCTCCTACAGTTTTAGTCTGATTTCAATATAACTTGGCACACAAGTAGACTACACTAAGATACACAATTCTGTGTATCGGTTTTTGATTTCGATGAACGGTGTTGCCGTGGTTACTAAAAATAGAAATTCCTGTGAAATTCTTTCAAAATGCTACTCCTCCTACAGTTTTGGTCTGATTTCAGTATAACTTGGCACACAAGTAGACTACACTAAGATACACAATTCTGTGTATCAGTTTTTGATTTTGATGAACGGTGTTGCCGTGGTTACTAAAAATAGAAATTTCTGTGAAATTCTTTCAAAATGCTACTCCTCCTACAGTTTTAGTCTGATTTCAATATAACTTGGCACACAAGTAGACTACACTAAGATACACAATTCTGTGTATCAGTTTTTGATTTCGATGAACAGTGTTGCCGTGGTTACTAAAAATAGAAATTTCTGTGAAATTCTTTCAAAATGCTACTCCTTCTACAGTTTTAGTCTTATTTTAATATAACTTGGCACACAAGTAGACTACAATAAGATACATAATTCTGTATATCGGTTTTTGATTTCGATGAACGTTGTTGCGGTGGTTACTAAAAATAGAAATTTCTGTGAAATTCTTTCAAAATGCTACTCCAAATACAATTTTAGTCTGATTATAATATAAATGTGGCATGCAAGTAGACTGCACTAAGAACTTAAAGAGACTTAATCAAGGATCATTATTCTATTTATTGCTGTTGAAAAGTTTCAATTTCCAACTGCTTAAGTACTTTTCTCTTCCTTTGCTATAAGTACAAACCAGTAGAGCTTCAGTATCGACAGAGACTTCTGGTTTGAGTAACACGTTAAATGTATTTTTAAATGTTCTCTTGGTTATAATTCAATTCCTATAGACCCTATGATGATTCTCCAGCAAGATTTGAACACCATTCACCCCCTCTTGGTTTCTACTGCTGACAGTGAGGTGAATTCTCAGGTACAAAAGCTTCTGCTGAAGATAGGGGTGTGTCAGCTGTCCCCCAGGGAAGTCATCTGCCAACACATCATGCCCACTCTCAAGTCAGATGCCTGGAAGGTCAGTTTCAGGCACAACTTTGGCCTGAATTTAATAACTATTCATGGAAACTGATTATATGTAGAGTAGACAAAGAACTATATGCGGTATATTGCATATGTTTGCCCCCACAAAAGTCAAATTTTGAAAACTTCCTGAAATGTGCTGAATTCAATAAATTGTACGAGAAATATAAGTTAACAGAAAATATTATAGTTCCAGAGCAGTGTATTCACAATTGCTGTTTTTATGACGTCACAATCTAGTCCAATTTTATATCCTTTTTCAGAAAGAGGACAAAATGGACAAAATTTCAACAATTTAAGCTTTAGAATTTATAGAGCGCATGTGTGTTCAGGAACAATATTGACATATTTCATTGATATTATCATTCTACACATTACCTGGTATATCAAAATGTTAATCCTGAACACACATGCGCTCGGTGACTTTTATTTAAAATATCGACGAAATATGTACATTTTTCTGCAAAATTCATAAAAAACTGAAATTTACGTCATATTTGTGACGTCATTACGTACATATGACGTCATTACTTATGAAATTATTCAGTGCTTTGAAGTCAGCATATACTCCCCTGTTTAAGGACTTAATTAAATATTACTCCATCAAAGTTTGATTTTGGGGGGCAAATGTTGGTTAATACTGCATATAGTTCTTTAATTTGATTTTTGCCTAGTTCTTTTGGAAAAAAAAGGGTTTTTTTTAATTTGCTCATTCATAACAAAGTCAAAGGTGCAAAAATTAAACTTGCACAAAAAATATTCCTTATGTGCTGTTCCTGTAATTTCTTTTGTAACTTATTTCTGGATACTGTAGTGTGTTAATTGTAATTTTATTCCTCAATGCAATTGGTGACAAATTATTCTAACTGCTAATGTCAGAACATTTTTAGTCAATTATTTACACAACGATAATTCTCACAAAATAATTATTGTTTCTAGGACAAGAAGGAGAACATTTTGATTAGTTACATAGTCTACATAAAAGAGCAGATTGAACTGGATCCCTCACTTCTAAATGTGGAAGAGTTAGGGATGTCAGCCATATTGAAAACCAACAAAGGTCTGCAGAATCCCTCCCAAAGTCCCATACACTTCCCACCAGTGTACAAAAACAATATCGATCTACAGAATGTGTTACCAGGTATAGGACAATAACATTATATCAAAAATCTTTATTTTGAAATCTACAATATTTACATGTATATCTTTTATTGGCAGAGGAAGTTGAACAATAAAATATAACCTAAGATATTTTCATGTTTCACTAAAAATTATATTAATATGTGATCATGATAATTGATATGATCACTTTTAAAGATTTTGATTTTGTAAACTAATCTTGATACAATGTTTTATTGTAGAATAAAGATTTTAAATTTTCTAATCAATGTTGATAATTTTCCTGTAGGATATGAATGGATTTTATTGGATCCAGTTTACCTGCGGAGCACCCGAACTCTTGTTGAACTCCAAAAATGGCGAGACTTCTTCATTAAAATTGGGGTGACTGACTTCATAGCAGTAAAGCAAGTCAAAGTGGAGATATCAGCAGAAAACATCGTAAGTAGGTTTCCGGGATGGTGAAATGTCTGTATGCCTGAAGTTAATATATATTCAGTTTGTATATTCTGTTTAATCTAGTCATCCACTCCTTGGGCTCCACTTCAAGAGGTTGTAGGTACAGTACAAGAGGGAAGTTATATTGAGGACTGGTCTTCTACAGAACTGCAGGAACTGATCCAGAAGAACAGCAAAATGTCCACCTATCCCCAGCAAATGAGGACCCTCTGTGTCCTCCTGGCAGAAAACTGGGACAGACACTTTTCCAAATTCACATCCACTTCCCTATACAGTAAGACTGGGGGACGTATGAGGGATATGGAGACATCCTTTAGCATCCTGCTGAGAACTGCTAGCTGGTTGCCAGGTTCACAGACATGTCTGAGTGTTGAGAATGATGCTATAATTGTGTCAGAGAATTTGTTGATGATGCAGCCTTCCTGTTTGTATTTACCATTGAAGGAAATAACAGACCTGTTGGCCCACTCTGTAATTTACATCAGTGTGCAGATCCCACACAATAGTTCTTTTGGACAGTTTTTACAAATTAAAAAAAGTGTAGGATTACAAGATCTGAAAAAGTTCTTGACTGACTGGGGAAAAAGAGACTCAGAGCAAACACCAAAAATATTCATCACCACCAAATATCACATCAGCAATGTGTATTTATGGCTTAGTAATCAGCTGCCTCCAATAGAAACCCAGGAACTACTCCAGAATCACCCAGTGATCTTTGTGCCAGATAAACCTATGCCAGTCAGGTTTGGTCCTGGTACTGGGGTCATGAACCAGAGGTCACCAGAAGATCTTCAGGCTGGTAGGATGTTAAATAGTAAGGAAGTGTGGTGGTCTGATCCAACAGGACTGATAATGAAGCATTGTGAGATCATTCAGGATTACCACTCAGAGCTAAACAAGAAAGCCATACTCTTTGACACTTACGGACAGTTTCCAGATCTAAAAATGTTGTTCCAGAACACTGGAAGAATTTCCATGGAGCCCAGTATGTTGGAGTATGGTGAGTTACTGGTGCTGATGGGACAAGTTCTAAGCCTGTCTGATAAGGCTGTCTTGTCAGATGCTCTCAAGCTGTACATGACCATTGGAGGGAAACTTAGCCCGGATGGATCACAGATGGCAGTTCAGACAAGGATGAATGTACTGGAGATAGAAATAGTAGCACTTAAAAAGTAAGAGATAGAAAGAGTAGCTCTCAAAAAGTAAGGGATCTAAAAAGAAAAAGTAGAACTCCAAAAATTACAGATTATAGTAATTTAATGATCATGCATGTCATAATTAAATATACACTGTATAATATTGTTCTGCTGGATCTGCTGGATTTGTTTAGTTTTCTTATCAGAGTATAAAGTGAAATTATAAAGGAATTGTTTTGTGCTCTAGCTGAAATTCTATTGAAATAGCCAGATTATTTGTTTAACCACTATCAGATTAAGTGAGACCCACTGTAACAATTAATAATAAATGCTTTATGTGCAATCTTTAGGAAATTACAAGGACAGAAGATTCTCGCCACAACGCACAGTAAATGGGTAGGTACTGAGGATCACCCCATGATAGCAGACAATAGGGAGTTAGAGAAAATGTTTGAGAAAAAGGACCAAGTCAACTTTGTTGTACTGGAGGATAGATCTCCTCAGCCCAAACGAGGAGGAACAGCAGTGCTGGGTAGGTAGACAAATAGTGAGGCTTAACAGAGGAGCTATTCTTCCTTACGTTTGTATTCAGCTTCCAGAAATGATGTCTTCAGGATTGAATTTTGATTTTGATTGTACCTGATAATTTTATTTAAAATCAATTTAATTTATATGTACCGGTACATGTATCTGTTTATAATTTGATAGATCGGAACTTGGGAGATAAAATGATGCCATTCTATGACTTTTGTGGTGTAAAGAAGCTATCTGATTGCACCGATATTCAAGTGATCCCTGAAATGCTTGAACCATGTCCAGAACTTCAGTTGTATGTGTGTAGAGCTGTCCCATTGCTTCAGCGATTCCTCTACAAGTTATACCCAGACATCTATCAAGAACTTCAGAACCAGAATATTACTCAACGCCTGTCATCCATGCAATTCTTTAAGGTTTGCCACTCAAAAACTTTTCCGTAAAGTAATTTGAGCATGAAGATAACACATGAATTTTTCTTTTACCTCTGTATTTGTTGTACTATTCCAGGTGAAAAGTTTAGAAGTGAGATACTCTTTGAATCACACACCTGATGTTTTTATCCTGAGGAAAGAGAAATGTGTGCAGACAGAGAGTACCTTCTACTTCCACAGGGATTTTACAGAGTATTATCAAGACATAAACAAAGAAGTTGCCAAGCTGTTCTCCAACTCACAGGATAGATGCTTCAAAGACTTGAGGTAAAGTGGATTATTAGACAAGACTGAAATGAGCTGTTAAACCTTCACATGAAAGAATTCAAATTTTGTAATACAGTCTGTGTACATTTTTTAGCAGTCAATTCCCAGTGATTACTCTAAAATGTGAATCCATTTATGTTCATATAGAGTACATTTTAGGATTTCTTATTGATAATGATATATGTCAGTTCAGCTGAAATAATGTTTTGTAAGAATCCTTAAATGAATTTTGACATGACTGTACATCAAGACATCTTTGTATGTGCAGGGCTTTTCTAAATGAGATAATCACAGCACTTACCAAAGAGCCACACACCCTGGAGGAGATAATGGACCAGAATGACTGTGAACAGCTTCCTGTAAATGAACCTGTTTGGTCGGTTCCTCCACCAATCTTCCAGGTTCCAGTGCTAGCTGAACCAGGTAGTTGAGATATGCTACAGAAATTAGTGTGTTTAGATAAAATGTAGTCATTACTTCCCTTTTTTCATATTCTCAAATGTGCATCATTCTTGTTGATTAAGCATAGAAAAATACATGTCAATAAAACCTTATCAAATTGAGATTTCTTATATTTCCCCAGAAGAAGAGTTTTGGCCTGAGGAGGCAGCTGTCTCAGGAGAAGGAAGGTCAGACAGTAAGCAGACAGAGGAGGGAGATCAGGGGCTGAAAGCTTGGCCACCAATGTCTAACACTCAGGGACCAGCTCAAAACAAAGGTAATAGATCAGGGCCTGAAAGCTTGGCCACCAAATTCAAACACTCATGGACCAGCTCAAAATAAAGGTAATGGATCAGAGCCTGAAAGCTTGGCCACCAAATTCAAACACTCAGGGACCAGCTCAAAACAAAGGTAATGGATCAGGGTCTGAAAGGTGACCACCAAGGTCAAACACTCAGGGACCAACTCAAAATAAAAGTCTGTACAATCTTATCGTAGTAGATATTGGAACACAGAGGATGCAGAGATAAGTAGGGATGTCAAAATATTAATTTTCCTTAGTCGAACATTCGATTGCTTTATTCGAACGATAGTCGACTATTCGGAGCATTTATTTATTTCTTTAAAGCACAGACTTTTTATAAGCTTATTAATGAAAATGAATTGGAAAATTGAAATAAACTGGAAATGGGGAATTGTGAATACACACTATCCACACCTCCGATGAAAATGTTAAATACTGCACGTTTGTTATCGAATGATTGTCCAAGCCAGTAAGTATATATCAAAATGTCTTCTATGTAAGATTGTTGTTTTAATAATTATCGAACTTCAAAACTTCACGGCTATGCAAAGATTGTGTGTTCCTAAAGGCCCTTTCACAATTGGCGCATGAGCAGAAGTGACAAAATATTCGTGCGACCGAATAATTTTGGTTAGGATCGTAAACTGTTGCAAAAATAATCGCATATGAAAAAAGTGTTCGTACGAAATTTGCACGATCCAAAGCGACTGTTGTGCATTAAATCTTGCGATATATCTTGCGTCTATATGCGACTGTTGTAGAATGAAAGCGAGTGTTGTGAGATAATGCGATAGGATTGCATGACTGATCAGGTAATCGGACGATTGAACGTGCGACAAAACAGTTGGACGTGCGGTGCTCGTGCGCTCATGCATTCCATAGTACGAATGTTCGTGCGAGTCAGAGGGCCGGGTATATATACCACCCGTTTCCGACACTCTTCAGTTGACATAGTTAAGATGCTTATAATTATACACGGTATATATGCCTGTTGGAAAGCATGGCAATTGAAGGTGATAAATCAAGCAATGACAGTAAAACGTGTGTTTACATGAGACATATAGCATTTCTTTCTCATGGTCGCAAAACACACGCAAAGACAGCTGCGATCCATGTTACGATTTAAAAAATCGTGCATCACACTTACGAGTACATAAAACGTTGTAAGACGTTCGTACTAATTTCGTGCGTTGAATTGAGGCAGCTGTCTCATAATTTTGATTGCATTTGGTCGCGTCTGAATAGTGGGCATGTTGACTATTTTGAGGAGACTTGATGCGACCACTAAAACACATGCAATGAATGCGAGACATCGTGCAACATATGCGATAGCTCGTGCCAAGCTAAAATTTTCCGATCGCAAAGTGTTGTAAAGTGCTCGTGTGCCAATTGTGAAAGGGCCTTAAGCATTTGAAATTCCTAGAGTTTATAAATATAATTGGTACAAGTCAATTAAATAATTTTTATAGTCCAAGTATTCAAGCGTTCATAATTTACTACGTACAATAACAAAAAAGTCAGTGATTGAGAAATAATTATCGCGGTATGTAATTACTGTTTACTGTACAATGTGGAAAATTATTTATATAGCTGTAACTGTGTTTGAGCTTTTATTCGTCTGAGGACGTATATACACTATACAACTGTACAGGTTGAGGAAGGACCCTTTTTCAATTCTGAGATGAAAATTTCATTATCTTTCCCATTTATTGCATTTATTTAATATTCGAATACCGTTTCATTATCCGAATCTTAATGTAGTCGAATAGGAACACGTTGACATCCCTAGAGATAAGTGTTGCAGGATCAAAGTTAAGCAAAGTAGGAAATTCCATAGTCAGATGGCCATTTTATGTACTAATATAAGCTATTTTCAATGGTTTTACAGATTATTCATTTCATGTAATTATGAAAATTTTTCCTTCAACAGTGGAGCAAAATTCTAGTAAATTAGTTAATGAAAAATTTCAAAAACATTTTCTATCAACCAATGGAAAAATGGATTCTTTAATTTACAGTTAGAAAAGAAAAGGAAGATAAACCTGCCGAGTCTAAAGTATGGCCACCTCCAAAGGCTCCTGATTATGTGAAGAGTGTCAGAGAATTGCCCAGTCAATTCAAGGTCACTGATGAAAGGAAGCCCTCTGGTGGTGAGGAAACATCCTATTCTGTCAAGGGAGATAAATCTTACGGAGGGGGAATTACAACACATGAGAGGACAGAGGGACAGTCATACAACAGGCAGGATGGTGGTGAAGGGAGCAGACAGGGCAGTGGGGAGGGAAGAAGGCTTGAGAGACAGGACAGTGAAGGAAGTAAGTACCGGGTATATGTACGGAGTAAAATGCTGAAAATAGTTCTCAGCTTCTCTATGAATTCCTGATTTCAGAGAATCAAGATCACAACAATCAGAGCTTTCTCTGAATTAAATTCCACATTTACTGTTTGGTTTTGTAGAGGGAACAAAGAGAAAGATATCAGAAAATGAGACAGAATCATCAGGAGATAACAAAAGAACAGTGCCACCTGGTGAGGAAAAAGAACAGGGACAAGAAGTGTCAGGTTATAAAGGAGAGGGCACTACAGCGCCATCTAGTGGAAGCAGTAAGTCAGAGGACACAGGAACCCAGCCAAGAGAGATTACAACAGCAGGGGAAAAGTTTCATCATGGAGAAGGTCAGGAACATGGAAATGTGGAGAGTATAAGAAATGAAGATGGATCAGTGACCCACAAGCCAGGAGGAAAACGGCGGCATCCCACCGACAGTAGTCAAGGGTCACCAAGGGTTCCAGAGTCTAAGAGAATTCTAATGGGTATGTAAAGTAAACTAGGTCTGTTCAAGCATCTTCATAGGAGACTTTGGTTTTTTCTTTTATTTTTAATAATACAAATTTAATTGGTTTTCACTTTGTCTTTGGAAATTTGCATCCTAATCTTTGTATTCCTTTGGTTTCATTCTTCCAAGAATTATTGATAAGAAATTTGTACTCATCATATCCATTATGAAATAATTTGTAAAACTCTCATTGGTGGTGTATGTATTGCAGATCACCCAGCTTGGACTGAACTAGCCAGTGATTACACTTATGAAGAGCTATGCCAAGGTTCCAGTCTGAAGGCCCCACCAGAGATACCTCTTGACCTTGACCAGGATGAGTCAAATTTACAAGAAATAGGTCGCTGGGGGGAACACCTGGTCCATCAGTACCTGTTAGAGCAGCAGGAGGGGGACTCAGACATTATAGAGGTCAAATGGTGTAACAAGGAAAAGGAGCAGGGCACTCCTTATGACTTTGAATTATCACGGAGGACAGAAGATGGAGTGATTAAAACTTTTATAGAGGTCAAGACGACCTTGACTGATGATAAGGATGTGTTTGAGATCTCTTCCCAGCAGATTCAATTTGCACAGGAGCAGCGTGAGAATTTCCACATTTACCGGGTGTTTAATGCGGGGGACCTGGAGCGGGTGCGATTGGTCAGGATTGATCATCTCTGTCTCAGGCTGGACCAGAAACAGGTCAGACTGTGGATGATGATTTAGGTCAAAAATAGGCGAGTGTTCGACGTGATCTCTTGTTTCATTGCTCTTATTGCTTTTCAAGAACAGTTGGAACCTGTGTGCTCCTGATGTGGCAGCAGTATAACAATAAACTCTTTTGAAAAAGAACTTGACTCACATTCACTTAAACCTCACTGGAAAATCTAAAAATTGCTGTATCATAACCTGGTAGTCATGATGAGTAAGTTTTACATGACATGTTTTTGACATATTTACTGGTACTCCGTATAGTTACAGTATTTTTTTTTTTAATAAATTTTTACATCATGTTAGATATGTTTTATTGTTTGATTTTCGTCACTTGATAATGTAGATTGTTGCTAGGTTCTAGAATTTTGTGCACTTTAAATTTTTTCAATTAGCATACCAGTTTTTACATACGATCTGTGGTTGTAAACATTGTTACAGTACATATTTATTTACTGAAATGCAAAAGAAACGCAACAAGCAGTAATCTATAAATGTTTGAATTTTTTATCTAATGATTTTCAAAAAAGAATACATTAAGGCTAAACTCACTTTTTAGAACATCAGAGATTTGATAAAAATTTTAAATGTTTATCTTTTAATTTAGCTGCCATTCAATTACAATGTGAAAGACTGCCCTAAACAGCAATAGCAGCTTAATTTCTACGATATAATAGGTTAATCAACATCGAGAACTGAGCGAAGGAATTTTTCATTGCCTGTTTTTTAGATGATTAGGTCGAATTTTCTTTAATTTAGCACATTGTAGTAACCCTTGGACTTCCAGTCCTAAGACTATCATTTATGCATATGACACATAAGACCCCCTTGAGGCATAATATAGTGTATTTTTGCATCATCAATTCTCCATCACCTTTTCTTTGAGATTTTCCAGCTAGATCGAGCCATGGAAATGCTTATTTATGCCATTTTCAAGAAGCCTTAGCATCTTTACGGGAAACGAAAGGAGATTTTATTTTTTGAACAGTACATACTCTTAAAACTCCATAATATTGCCAAATGTTTTGTTAAACATGCAATTTTTGATTTCTGTTAAACAGACTCAAACCCGACTTCTGGTTATGGTATGAAAATCATTCAACCGTTAAATTACCGATATTTGCAATTTGAAGATATCCATAATTTTAAGATACAAAATTCTTTACTTTACATAATCATTTCCCCGTAAAGTAGGGTGTTTCATTTCTTTTGCGTTTCAGTATAAAAGTGCCATATTATGTGTGAATGATATAAGTGTACACTGCATTATTGTCACAGACATCTTTCATGAAAAAAGTCTCCTGGTTAACTTAGGCATTCTCATCTAAAATTGCAAAGTACAAGGTTATTCAAAGGAGAGTTGGGGGGGGGGGGGTTACCGGCATAAAGGACTTTAAAATTCTCAGGAATTCCTTATTGACAGGGTGTAGTGGACTTTACAGGATTAGTTCTGTGTATCCCATGTTTTATTTCTGTAATACTGACCAGATCATCAGGGACCATAGCTTTTAGGTAAATTGTTCATATACATACTGCACACACAGGTTCACCAAACATTCTTCTTTCACCTTTATAACTTGATTCAATCAAATTTATATTGCCATGTTTAAGCCATTTTTCATGATGCTTAATAGTAAGAAATCTCATGCAAATGCAACTTTCTTTTTTTTCACACCCAAACTTAGAAGTGTTATTATACTTCTGTGAATTAAATTTGAAAAGCTTCAGCAACACATATGAAATATACATGTGGTGTCGTTTATTGTGTTTGTCAGTGCAATACTGTATTCATGTACTTCATAGCATTATTTGTTTACTTTTCTAAAAATAATGATTGGCAGTATATCTAATCAAACTCATGTGATTAATAAATACATCATGAACTTGACTGTAATCATTTCTTTCTACCAGTTGTTCATATATGGCTAGACAAGGATGAGCTTTGCAGGATCATAAAATGAAGGAAATAGTGGTAATTGAAACAAAGCTTCAACCAGTGTGAACAATAAATGGTTTTGAATGAAATACGTGTATATATGACCCTGGATTTACAGAATGATAATATTTCCACGAAAGAAAATGTCCCCCTTTTTTAAATTCATTTTTTCCTGTGGGGGAAAATTCCCTCGTAATTTCCGAAGAAATTATAAGTTATTAAGGAAAGTGCAAAATCTAAGGGGAATTTATAAAAGATATTTAAACTTTACTCGAGAAAAGAAAAAAAAAACAAAAAAAAAACAATATACAAAGTGTTGGCAATTTATCATCAGCATGTTATGAGCATTGTCGGAAAATCGAACACACTTGGTAATTTATATGGTGACAGAGTTTGTGCCAATGCTTACATACACGTGTTTGGTTTAAGGTTATCAAGAATGTCCCTATCATCAAGTATTAAGAATTTTCACGTTCATTTCGCTTCAACCTGAAGCTATTGTTCAAATAAATAACATATCCAAAAAATCCAAAATTGTAAACAAAACAGCAACGTAAGTAAAATAGCATACACAAGTCAAGTTTCTTAAATCTGTAGCTTCCGGTCTGTGAGTGAACGTTAAAATTTCAACTTTCTGTCAAGAAACATCTTTTTAAAAGAGAACTTCTGAAAATCAATGAACTGTCTTCCTTAAATTACAATATTAATACTAAAAATATTTAGCCATTATTGAAAGATTGACATAATAGCATGATGCTAATATTGGATTTATTCATATTTATTTGTTCTTCTTCTAGTACTCAAAGTTTCTCAAGTATTTCGTATCTAATACAGTAATATCCCACTTATTTTTAATTTTGAACTGACATAGTGACAAAAAAGTCGATGTATAGTATACATATACGTCTACTTTGAGCCAAGAGTGTCTCCTTCCTTTTCTTTTAATTCCCCTGCATTCATTTTACCAAAAATTGTTTCTTGGATCATACATGTTCGTAATTGTATACTAAAATTTTGGAACGATCGCCACAGTACAAACGAGCTTCTTCATCAAAACACAGTCCTTGTGGTATCCACGAATTTCCTAGGACCAACAGACGCGACAGAAAATTGCCATCTTTGTCCACCAAGTGAACATTGTTGCTGAAAACATCAAACACAACAATGTTGAGAAGCAAATCACAGCATATTCCGGCGGGAAGGAATCCGGATCCGGTTTTACCGGCACCGGAGTAGACCCACCTTTTCCCGCCCGTAATATCCACCGCTACCAGCGCCGTTCGGTCTGATGTAATCACGTCCATATTGGCGTTCTCTGTTACAAACTGAGGAAGACCATAGAGAGCATCATTCTTATTGTCAACTTCGATTCCTTGTTTCTCTTTCCCCTTGGAATCATACCGCATTATCCTAGCTCGATGTTCCTTTACCATCCCAACAAGTAGGTCACCAGTATAGCGCGAGGAACATATACAAAGTGGCGTCCAATCCCCCGTCTTCTTGAAAGGGTTCATACGAAGACTTGTTTTAAATGCACTTGAGGTCTTTTGTTCATAGTGCACTTTCAAAATTCGTTTATTCTCCATGTCGGTGTAAAGAAGTTGTCCATCTTGTGTCAGTGTATGAAAACCAGCACCGCTTCTGGTTTGGATGTTTTCTATAATGTTTCCCTGTAAATCTAATAGAATCAGGGAACCACTCATGTCACTAACCCACATGGTATTTGACGCTGTGCAAGAAATATGGCATCCTGACTTAGAAGTATGGTTTGGCAGAAGAACAGTTTTCTCCCATGTTAATGTAGGGACGAGGTCGGAAGATTCGTCAGATTTGGCGACAATGGGCCACTGAGCAGACGTTAAATCTGGATTGTCTACAACTGGGTTGTTTTTGAAAACTTCTGAAAAGGCTGTTGCTCTGACGACACATTGCGATGAAAATATTTCCTCTTGGCTTGTTTCCGTACAAGTCGCTGACTTTTGGGATATGTTTTCTTCGATGACACATTGAGCCAATGAAACATCTGTTTCAAGCTGCTGACCATCAGGTCTTATATTGGAGAATGAAGAACGGGATACTAGTATATCTTTCTTTTCATCACTGACTGTTTCATTTTTGTGTTCGGATGTTGCGTCTGTTGTGTTTGAATTCAATTTTGCTGGACGTGCGTCTGTCACTGATGTCGTCTCTTTCTTAAAGCCTTTGGACTCGCGATCGCCTTTTTCTTCCTTCTCTACTACTTTTTCGGTGTAGCATACGACCTCGTGATGTTTTGTGGCGTTGCTCCTCAGATGTCCTTTCCTGCAGGTTTGACAGAGGTCGTCATGGCATGAATTGCAATGGAATTCGGCATTTCCATCACAAATTGTACATAGTACAACGTGCTGAGCAGAGCTAAGCGATATATCATCCATTCCTTGGCACCCTGATAAAGAAAAATGACATTGAGACGGTTTGTAGCTTAGATAAAGTCTTTAAGTGCACATCTTTATATATTACAAATGATAAAGAACAATACTGTTAAAGTCATATGAGACTGTGTAATCTAAAAGGAAAATCAAACTTATACATGTATATTTCAATTTTTAGTTGCTTTCTCTGTGATAACTTTTTGAAAGTTAGGTGAGTTGATTTCTTGTTCATTCAACCGGAATGTAAATTTGCCAGGCGAGAGGTCATGAGCAAAGGAGGCCTAATATGCAAGTAAACCTCGTGCTTCTCATTTTGTGTTTGATGTCAGTGGGTGGGGACATAGGCCATTGAATCGTTTTAATCCGACTTTTAAAAAAAATGGAATGTAATATTTTTAATTTTTTTTTTTTTTTTTTTTTTTGCTAAACACCTCATTTTTTGTAATAGATCTAAAAGCTTGTGGGTTGGGACTATTGAAATTGACATTGGAGGCCTCGAGTATGGTTGAAATTTATTAGAATTTTTAAAAAAAATTATCTAAATTTACAATTTTATTTCACAATGATGAAAATATAAGGAATTGCTGTCTAGTTTGTTGAGTATGGCAGTGACATAAACTATAGTTGGAAACGCAGGATATTTTATGCTTCGCCCGTTATGCAAATAATCCCACGTTTTCAGCTATCGTTGATGCGCTGGCATACGCAACAAACTAGACAGCGATTCCTTAAAGACATATATGGCGTATTTTTGACAAGTTCAGACTGACTTTCCGTTTGTTTTGTTACTTTTTAACGATTTATAACTATAGGACTTTCCCGTATATTACACAATTTAATTCAATCGCGTTTCAAAGATCTATACCACAGATTTAAAACAGTAACTGATTTATTTCCGACTCGGAACTAAATAACAGACACAGTTTAAAGCCAATTTAACAATAGAAATGTGGGGATTTTTAAGTTCAAAATCGGTGAAAAATTTAATTTGAACGTAAATAACAAGTATCATGTTAATCTACACTTAATCTCGATATTTTTTTTATTTTTTAGCTTAGATAAGCCATGTAGCTTTAAATAAAGAGTAGAAAAACTTAATATAATCTATATTAAAAGTCATATGGATCGACTTTTGAACATATCTAACCCGAAGATATAAATCTAAAGAGTTGTAAGTTTTCTAGCACTTAAGAAAATGTACTTTAAATAAAGCTTATAACGAACATGGAATAGATAAAATGAGCTTTGAATGAAATTAATTAATAAAACATTATTTTCTCATTACACTTATAAGATATTTTCTAAAACAACATTGCTTCAACGTTAAACCAACATAGAAAATATACCAGTGTGAGTTAAACTTTTCCAACGTCATATGTTCCCCACTTTTTGAATTTTGAAGAAATGAATACTAAACGTTTTGACCTTGCGCCGGTATATTCAAACATCGACCAAAACAATTTGTCAACGTATGTTGAAATATCGACAAGTTTTCAAATGTAGAATCTTTAACATTAACAAAATATGTAGAATCTTAAACATTGAAAAAACACAAGTGACGCTTAATGAAATGTGTTTATACTATAGTTAAAAATATTTTACCTTTTTCATACTTATATTGTAAAGTTCAACTAAAATGGGTGATAGTACGTGTAAATATGAATTTCTACAACTAGTTTCCATATTCATTATTGCAAATTTAGCTTTTTAACGCCACCCGGTAAACGGATATGGATCAAGGTTTTTTCCCCGAGGGAGGGAGGGATGCAAATCAACTCAAATTTCATACATTGCAGGAAAAGAAGCGCAAACAACTTGCACACACATTCTTAAAAGAGTATTTGGTGGGAGACACTTTCCCTAGGCTAATGCTTGATTTTCCTTATCGTTTTATAAGTAAACCATTGCGTGTTTCGGGGGGGTCATTTTTCCCATTACTGTCATTGGCGTCGGAAGCAAATTGAAAGTGGGGGGGCTAAGTGTAAAAAAAATTTGTTTGTACCTCCAACCAAACCTCACAAGCAAAAAAAAAAAAGAAAAGAAAGAAAGAAAGAAAGGACATTGTTCCGTTGTCCAATCACGAAAATCCTATTTCGAGGGTGTGTGTGTGTGTGTGTGTGTGTGTGGTTGGGGGGGGGGGGTTGGGGTTCAAACTTCCTTCAGTATACCAATTTTTTTTCCCAAACACTACCACTTTCCACATTTTTAACCTATACTGCAACATGTCTCTGGAAAGTGGGGGGCTAAATCTACGCTGCAATGTTCAATGCCTATACTAAGTCTATCTTTGGGGAAAAAGTGCCCCCACCCGGTTCCGACGCCTATATGACTGTTACCTAGAAATTTAATAATTCCGAACTTTTCAAAGTGGAGGGAGTCTGGACCTCCTCTAGGTCCTTGTATGCCGGTAAATTAATTATACATAATCCCTCCGGGAACTAAAGTAAAGCAATCAGTGTTAACTGTTATTGAAAACTTTATGCACTTTCGATGACAAATGTACACGTAAAACGATAAAGGGATTGAATTTAACACAATCGCAATTGGTTAAAAATGCTTGTCATTGGTCGTTATCAACACTATGAATATACCTGTTCAACTGGCATGGAGATAATAATAACCTACCGAAAGTTTGATATGAAGGGCATTTAAATAAAATCTTTCCATTTCATAGTTGAATAAAGTACATGTTTACATGTACAGAAATGCACATTACCGAGAGTTTATGTTTAGATGACGGCCCTGGCCATGGAAGGTTTCACAAAATGTGGCGATCGTTGTCCCCGAGTAACCTTTGTATACTAAAACAGAAACCACTGACAAATTTTCAATCGTCGATTGATAACATTTACACATTACAGTGTATTTCCTCGTAAAGGTGTCCTAATCAAAAATTAGATATAATTTCATGCATCTACATGAATGTTTACTTACCTGTGTACGGAGTACCGAATCAACTAACATTTAAATCGTAAACCTATTACCACACTCTCTATTAAACAAAGTTAAGCTAAAAATTTCTTAGCGACGTTTCGAGTAATTTGGAGATATGTGCAACATTCAATATACTCTTCTATAATCTGCTTTTCGATCAACGATAAGTTTGTTAATTGAAACATTCATTTGAACATTTTTAATAAAACATATCACTTAAATACATTTATTTTCATTTTGTGTAATAGAAGGTATACATCACAAATCAATGATAAGTTTGTTAATTTAAAATTTATTATTTGAACATTTTAAATAAAACATATCACTTTAATATATTTATTTTCATTTTGTTTAATAGAAGGTATACATCACATCCCTCACAAATTATTGAAATTAAGTGTTTGATTATATATTAAAATTTTATTTAAGTACTTGAGTATCTACAATAAGTTGAAAAAATAACTACCATCCAAGTTTAAGATTTTTTTTCTCAAAAGAAGGCCCATTTTCATTCTATTAAAATAAACATGCTCCAAGATTCAAGCTTATTTAAATAGTCCTAAACATGGTTGGTTGTTCCTGTTTTTTTTTTTTTTTACTTCATCCATGCAAGTTTGATCGATTGAGGGAATGTATATATACATGTAGATAAAATCCATTTTAAAGCAAAAAGTGTCCGTAGGAAGCAATTTCAGTTAGGGGAGGGGCACATGCAGCCATACATTTTCAGTTGGGGGGGGTATCATCTACCAAACATTCCTTGACAAACAAACAAAAAAGGTCATGTGACGTTTTTATTGAGAGGCACGAGCATATAGTATCTATGTTTTCTTAGTATCTATGTTTTCTAGATTATGGGGGGGGGATATTTTGGACGCCCTGGAAATAACCCGGTCGGCAACGAAAATGCAAAGGACTCACTGGTCGAAACAAACTTGAACATTCATGTGGAATATTGCATTGATGACTACAAAAAATATAGGGAAAAAATTTTGACAGCCTCAAGTTAGACAGGCGGACAAATGTTACAATAAACCCAACCTATATTTAAGATTTTATAGGAATACTCCACGCCATGATAGAAAAGAAAGAAATTAGAATTTAACAAAGTTCGATCTTTGGTTACAAACTCGACAATCAGTTGATAGTATTTTCAAATCTCAAGAGGCAGAGTGATGGGAATTAATTAGGACTATAATCTGTTTACATAATTTTCAATTCAATTCATTTATTGAGAACACTATCATATATCATGAATACAATAATTAACATACATAAAATAAAAATATTCCAGTAAGCATATCAGGTTTGTTGAAGGTTTTCGTTCCTTTCTTCATATAAAGTTTAAGATAGGAGTTTCCTGTAAATTACGCAATTTAAATCAATCGCGTTTCATATATATATATCAGAGATTTAAAACAATAACCTATTTTTTTCCGACTCGAAATTAAATAAGACACCCGGCGTACAGTCTAAAGTTAACTTCATTATGGGATATTAAAGTAAAAAAAATCGGCGAAGATTTGAATCTGAACGTAAATGACAAATATCATGTAAATTTACACTTAATTTTTTAGCTCGATCAGAAGCTGTTATAAAGGATTTTTTTTTAAATATTAAATGAAAATCATTCATACAGAGGTCATTTTCATCCTATTGGCCATATTTATTACACTTTAAAGGAAATATCATAAAATTGTTTGTTTGTTGTAGTTTTTATTTCAAATTATATTATTACATTGTATACCTTTTAAATAATTTACGAATACTTTTGGATCGATATAACAAAGGAATATAAACTTCTCTGAATATTCACATTCGGATGCCTTAATTTAATGTATTCCCTAAATAAAGCTCCCTGAGATATGAAGATTTTCTTGTAAAGTATTATATTTATATAAACTTTAGGTCTGAATTCATAAAGAAGGAGAACATTTTGAGATAAATGAAAAATTGTATTTCCATACTTATCCGAATAAAATATTTTGAAATTCGGTAAGGAAGGTGTGTTGAAATCCGTCACGTGACAAAAATATGGCGGACGTTCCTAACACAAATCCGTTTCTTGATGACGAAGACGATGAAAATACGGTGGTTGCGGCTACAGAAGTGGTTAACACTGAATTGCAAGATGCAAAAACAAGTGAACATCATGAACTTTCATTAGATTCGCTTGCTGCAAGCCTTTTGAAGGAGAATTTTGTTTTGACAGCCCTTGAATTTCACACAGAACTCTTAGAGACCGGAAGAGAAATCCCACGACTTCGAGACTATTTTTCAAACCCTGGAAATTTTGAACGTACAAAAGACGAATTTGGGACTTCATCACTGCGTAATTATTTTGTTGTTTCTAGTTTTGAACAAGTCATTGAAAGTATCTGAATGTTTATCAGCTGTTTATGGCAAAGTTTTGGACCAGTTTTCTCAAAAGGGATAAAAATAACCAATTTTGATATATACAAATACTTGTAGTATTTTCTTTAGTTGGAGGCTCGTTTTAATACTCTCCCATCATCAACTTCTCACTAGTGAATAACAACACTAACAGTAAAGCACATTAAATGAGTGCTAGATTTATTTTCGCGTTGTTGATAAAATTGTCAACTCTTGTTTTTAAAATCTAAATGTTTAAGGAATTTTGTTAAAAGTAAGGGACATGAATATTGTCTTAGAGAAATGTTAAATAATAAAGTTTAGTTTATGTTATGCCCCCAGCAACTTTCTCCCCGTGTGGTAAAACATGGTTCATTATCAAGTTGTACAGCAAAAATAATCATATTGATCTAAAGCCTACAAAAAGTTTTCTGTAGTTTCAAATATATTATATGCTTACATATGAAATTTACAAGGGTCATTCAAAAACTAAGTAGGCAAAGTGAATTTTGTATCATTTTTAAGAAAATCAAAATCAAGATATTTTCATTCTTAAAATTTAGGGAAAAGGAAAGGCAGAATTATTGGATTATGAACAGGAGACACAAGAGCACCCAATTTGAGGGTGGGGCACGACACCCCTCTGTTTTCTCCCTAGCCTGAACACTGACGTGTGTTGTCAAGTCATTCTTAACAACATTGTAACATAAAAAACTTAACATAATCAATGTCTAATGAGAGTTTTGCTAAAATACTCCTCTACTACATTTCAAAACAGTTTCTGATATCTTGCCCACTCATTAATTAAAATCACTATACCACTTGATTTTTTTGTTTGCTAATAATTGTTTATATATCATAATATAGTTTAGCAGTATTTGAATGTGTCCTGCTTTTCCAAGTTTGGTAATAGTGAAACCCCTGTCGGTTTCCTTGACCTTAACTAACTCTTTTGACCAGATTTTTACTGATAAAGTCTCCTGGCAGATCATCTTAGTGTGCATCAAATATAAATGTGTAACACTTGTCAAGTAGGGCTAGCAATAGCAAAATTCTAATGCAATTGTTTGCTTTTTTAATGCATTTTGATTGGCTAATTCACGGATGTTTGAGGCAGTAAAAAAGCATTAATGAGAGTGAAAGCTATTGATTGTGATGTCATAAAAACACAACACTTCATGGCAAATTTCTGTTAGCAAAACTTAACAAAATGTTATGTAAACAACAAACAAAATGCATAAGTTGCATTAGAATATGAATCTTTTCATTTGCAATGTGCTACCATTAATGCTGATTTAACAGTCACATCTGTTTTACAGGCTATGCTTATAAATGCATTTTTTGCAAGTGTAACACAAAATTGTATTGCTATTCACTTCTCCATGTCATTCTGCAACATCATCTTTTTGGGGCTGTTTTTTTTTTTAGGACTACCTGTTTTCTGTTGATTTTGAAGAAGCAACATATTACCTCACAGTAGGGAATATTACCAGTAAATGAAGAAATGATATATGAATGTTTCTTTGAATTCACTTTCATTTTAGCAATATTTTAGTCTTGTTTATGGAATAAGATGAGTAATATTATTTACCTGGTATTTTATTGTTAAGGAAATAACAAATTTGATAGATTTCATCGTCCCATTTTTTAATTTTTTACAGTTTTAAATTTAAATTAATTTTTGAATATATCATCATTCACGAAATATTTCAATTATTTTATTCAAGTTATCTGGGTTTATTTTTAAATTATGTCTACCAAATTTTCTTTTACATTCAATTTATGCTAAATGAAAAGTCTACATATTTTTTTGTTTTTGTTTTTGAATGACTCTTATAAAATAAAATAAATTAAAATGTTCCTCTATGACAATGCACTATAATGGGTTTTACTGTACCAGTATATAACAAGTTGGACACGATTAAATACATGTACCATATAAAAAGCCATACATGTCATAAATTACTGTTTCTAAAGCCATGTATTTTAAAACAAATTTTCATTAACGTGCAGTTGTAAAACACTAGATTCCTTTGTCATATCTATAAAAAGATTTAAGATGAAATTTCTTGCATTTTTTTTATTTTGGTAGGTTCGGGAGTCCCAAAATATATTAAGTATTATTTATGATTGGTCATTATAAATAAAAATTTTCCTTTGCTTTTATTTCCTTTCTAACTAATTTGATAAATCTCTATTACAAATTTTAAGTTTATATATAAATACATGTACTGTAGAATCACATATTTTCACGGGGTCAAATTTTTTAGCTTTGAGGAAAAAATATTGGTTTGTGGGAGGTTGACTATGTGGTTAGAGAATGCTAAGTAGTAATGCATATGAAATTTTAAATATCAAGGTGGTCATAAATTTGTGGGTCTTTCCATGCTTTAAAAACAATGAAAATTAACTCCCCGTGAAAATTTGTGATTTTACAGTACCAAAAGTATGTAGCCTTGCTTTTTCTTCAAAAAGCTTATAGATCTAAAATGCCATTTTATGATATCAGCATTTATTATTTATCCAACTGTGTATCAATCAATTTTATAGTTGAATTATGCAATCATGTGATGTTGTGATCTGACTTTCTGGATCATCACACTCTGTTTTTCTGAATCCATATCACCACTTTCTGAAACTGATGACGTAGTACACAATATATTTTTTCTTGTGTATAAAAAAGTTCCTTAAAAAAATGCTTTGTTTAATGAGTAAAAGGTATATAATTCCTCACAAAATTTGTCTTTAATTATATTTGCTTATTTTAAAGGGGTATATTATAAATTTTTCATTATAAAAGTAACTAGATAAGAAAAGCCTTATCATGTCTCGTTGACAAGCAGGGATCATCTGATCACACCTCATTTGATCTCATTTTCTGCACCTGTCAACTTGATGTGATACTGTTCTTTGGATCAAGTTACTGATGTACTCTTTTATAATTATATGTATTTTCAATAAGATAAGAATGATCAATACACAGGGCTCACAATGGGTGTGACTGATCAACAGGGGATGCTTACTCCTCTTAGCCTCCTAATCCCACCTCTGTTTTTTTTTTGTTTGTTTGTTGTTTTTTTTTTTTTGAGATCAGTCACTGTTTATTACCTTTACCTTTTTTTCATTATGAAGTCTGTTGTTTAATGATTTTTTTTATAATAACAGATAGAACATCCAGTATACAGACGTTTGATTCTCTGGACTTTGCCCGCTATTCAGATGATGGAGGTGGACAGGTGGATGAAAGAGTAGCAGGTGTGAAATATACACATTTATGTAACAACTAGAGTTGACACTTAGAAAGATTCTGATACATAAAATTTGAAATTATTTAGCTTTTCATAAATTTTCCGGCTCAATTTTCATTATATATGTTGGATTTCAATTTTTGATTTAAAAAAAAACACTTATGTGTTCTATCTATTCAGACAATAGCAAGTAATTATTATGTTCCTATTTAAGGCAACAGTTCTATTTCCTTATGCTGCCGAACAGGAAGTACATGTAGTACTGTATTACAGTTCATTTTTCTGAACAGTAATCCTCCTTTTGTCCTTGTGTAATACATCTTCGCTAGCCAAGGGTTTTCGGTCCAGTCCACTCCCCACTTTATGGGGAGCAGAGTGGACTGAAAACTCTTGGCTAGTGAATGTGTAAGTTACACAAAGGTGTCTCTTTATTCTTTATCCACAATGCTGCACACTTCAGACAATTTACTGTTTTTGCTTCTTTTAAGTCACTTATTAAATAGTGTGTACCTTTAAAAGTAGGTATCAGGCCTCATTGTTCAGTAATAAAAATATTGCCCCCCAGAAAGGTGTATATTGAGGGATTAATTAGAAATGCTGTCTTACATGTATTTACATCACTCTGTTTCATGTCTTCTTTTTTCTGTTCAGTTCTGGAATTTGAACTTAGAAAAGCACAAGATTCCATCAAATCTCTTCGAGCAAGCTTAACAAAAGAAGCAGGTAAAATCAAGTAGTTTTTGCAGACAATTTATTTATTAAAAGTATGAAAAATACAGTATATGCATGAAATATTAAAGAAAAAAATTGCAATAAAATTTTCTAATGATGACTGGTTGTAGCCAGTTAAATAATTTACTATATACATTTAGTAGTCCACCTTCTAATATGTATTAATCAAACTCCACAGAGAATGAGCTTGGGTCTACAGAGCAGGTCAATGAGGGGGTGGTCACATTGGGACAGGAGGAGGCCATTAAACCACTAGAGAAGAGGGCCATTAATTTCCTAATCAACGAGTTCCTCCTACAGCAGAACTACAAACTCACGGCTGTCACCTTCTCAGAGGAGAACGAAGAGCAGGTAACTCTTTAGCTACCTCTCACAACTCTAAGATCCTAGATGTGTTATGCACAGCAGAACTTTTTAAAGTTTTAATGTGCAAAAATGAAAACTGGGATTTTTAAAAAATATATATACAATGTACTGTACATTTATTTATATGTATTATCTCAAATATCTCTCAAAGCTACAAAATGAGATTAATGTATTGTCACTGTTAACTTTTTATGTCACAAAATCAATCCTGTTGTAAACCATCCCTTTTAATTAGGGCCCCGCAAGGATTTGCGGGTGCCCTATAGTAATCACTCTGTCTGTCCGTCCGTCCGTCCGTCTGTCTAGCTGTCTGTCTGTCCGTCTGTCACTCTTCCGTCCACAAATTTTCTGTTTTTTTCTAATAACTTTTTTTATGGTTGCCCAATCAAGTTCAAATTTGGTATGGTAGTTCAGTAGGCAGAAATACATATTTTGATGCTAAGTTTTGTTGTCTATGTCTTCTGGTTTAGAGCTGGGGTGGTGGGGTAGATTCCTTAATTATGCATTAGAATGAACGGGCAACTTTTTTTATGGTTGCCCAATCAAGTACAAATTTGGTACAGTAGTTCAGTAGGCAGAAATGCATATTTTGATGCTAAGTTTTGTTCTCTATGTCTTCTGGTTTGGAGCTGGGGTGGTGGGGTAGATTCCTTAACTTCATAATAGAATGCATTGGCAAAGAGAGATAACTGCTGAAGATGTTCACATTGTAAACTGAATGCTGCTAGGAGTCCCTTGAGATTAATTAGCTTTCCTCCTGAAGAAAATCCAGAGCATTATCTTTATCTGTCACATTGAGATTAATTACCACCTCTGTCTGCAAATGAAGTTTGTTTGAAAGTAATATCAATTTAGAATGCTATGAACACTCTGAAATGTGGATTTTAATATAATTTTTTATAATTTATTTTTGTTTGATAGTTATAATTTCATTGAAATTTAAAAAAAAAAAGAAAAGAAAAAGATTAAAGAAGTTTTTTTGATTTACTTCTTTTCACTTTTTTTTTCACTTTTTTTTTTAAATTAATTCAAGAATACATGTTTAATTAATTTTTAATGTAGTTGTATAAAAACCCCATTCTATCATTAACACTGAAAAAGTTCTTATTGTAAATTCAGAAGAAAATGATGAGAGAGGTACAATTAATCCCTTGGGATTAATTATCTAGCCTGCTGCAGAAAATTTAGTAGGCTTTTCTTTATCTGTCACTTTAAGATTAATGAAAACCTTTGTCTGCAACTGCTGTTTGTTTGAAGTTAAGGTCAAGCCTTCATGATATTTGCATTCATTGAAGGCTGGCATTTCATAACACAAAGCTTCATAATTGTTTAAATTTACATTCAATGTTAAGTTGTTATTTACTGCCTAATGTAAATACAAAAATATTATTTTCAGGTTCTTGAATATTCAGGAATTATCATTAAATTTTAAGAATACAGTTGCTGTTGCATATTCTTCATAATCATTCTGTAAGCTGCACCCTTTTAATTCTACCCCATGGCGGGGCCCTTGCTGACTGGTCAGTTTTCTAGTTTTGTGCTACATGTATGTTAGGATTTTGAGGACTTTTAATTTTGTGCTGTGTTAGGATTTTGAGGACTTTTATTTTTGTGCTGTGTTAGGATTTTGAGGACTGGGATGATGTGGGATTAAACATGGCTCGGCCACCGAGTCTGTTACACCTGTACAAGGATTATGGGAGCCATGTTGTCCCACAAACTGAAACCAAGGACTCCTCCTGCCAGGTAGATCTGGACCTGGAGGAAAATCAGAGGAGGGAGGAGGAATGGAACGATCTGAAATCTCAGCTGGTAGGTACAGAGGAATGGAGCGATCTGAAATCTCAGCTGGTAGGTACAGAGGAATGGAATGATCTGAAATCTCAGCTGGTAGGTACAGAGCAATGGAACGATCTGAAATCTCAGCTGGTAGGTACAGAGCAATGGAATGATCTGAAATCTCAGCTGGTAGGTACAGAGCAATGGAACGATCTGAAATCTCAGCTGGTAGGTACAGAGCAATGGAATGATCTGAAATCTCAGCTGGTAGGTACAGAGCAATGGAACGATCTGAAATCTCAGCTGGTAGGTACAGAGAAATGGAATGATCTGAAATCTCATCTGGTAGGTACAGAGCAATGGAACGATCTGAAATCTCAGCTGGTAGGTACAGAGCAATGGAACGATCTGAAATCTCAGCTGGTAGGTACAGAGGAATGGAATGATCTGAAATCTCAGCTGGTAGGTACAGAGGAATGGAACGATCTGAAATCTCAGCTGGTAGGTACAGAGGAATGGAACGATCTGAAATCTCAGCTGGTAGGTACAGAGGAATGGAACGATCTGAAATCTCAGCTGGTAGGTACAGAGGAATGGAACGATCTGAAATCTCAGCTGGTAGGTACAGAAGAAATTGGGTGGTTAAAGGGGCAGAGGTATTTTGGGAGGTTGGAATATGATTTGTATGAACCAGTTTAAACCATGTACTTATATTTGTTCCCTTTTTCGATTAATATTAATAAGTTTATCTTGCATTATCTCGACAGGAATCAAACATTGCTGATTTTGAAAATCAGATTTCAATCTTGAGAACAGAAAACCAGAACTTGATGTCACAGATTACTCAATTCCATAAGTAAGTTAGATCCTCAGTTTACAATTGCAGTCTATTTCATCTTTTAATTTCTTTTGTTAGTTAATTTTTTTTTGGATAAAAAGAATTTATACGTAATAATAAAAAAAAAAATTATGAGTTTCTTGGTGAGTAAATCCGGTTGGTATATTTCATGACAAGCACTAGAGTGAATAGAAAATATGCCAGTGTGCAAGTCTGTGATTTACTCACCAATAACAATACTTATTTGCTGACTGAAAAACATTCCATGTAATAAAATCTGAAACACATTAAAAACTTTCTAGCCAAAGATCTGAAAACCAGGTGATATACAGTTCTGCTCCTCTGAAATCTTCAAAGTTATCCAACCAGGAAGTAGATTACACAGTGGGTGAGGAGAGCCCTGGTGTGGGTGAGAACAGTAATGAAGAATGTGATCATAAAACAGTGAACAGCGAGTTAGTGATGGACACGAATTGTGAAAGTGAGGCAAAAACTGTGAAAGAAGGGAACCAGTCAAATGATAAAGACATGAGTGTGGAGTCACATGATTTTGTTGTCATAGATTCAGACCACAGCATAGGTGACAAAAGTCCCACCACGAAGGAAAATTCCAGTCGAGAAAATCCAGACCCTGAATCAGGGAGGTAGGTGTACAACAACAGAGTACTTGATCTAAACATTGTTCATAAACAACAGAAGTCTGTTGATAATACAATGTAAAATCAAGGGCAATGTTAGAGAAAATTTCTAATGAATATTTCTGATTTTACAGACATTTATCACCGACCTTTAGGAAAGCTTTATTAGATGTTTGTTTCCATGTTTCTAAAGACAACCGTATTGTACATGAGGTAAGTGAGTTCAGTATATTGCGTTGTCAGAGGAGGTGCTTTAAATTTATGTTTCAATAAATAATTGCTTATTTTTCTCTTAAGTTAGATATTTTACATCTGGAATTGCATTTTGAACCTTTTTTTCAGATTGATGACTTGTTAACTTATGTTAATGATTTTTTGACAGGTATCCCGAATCATTGGTGCTGACAGAGACCACATTGTGACAATGCTGGCTCGCTGTCTTCCTCATATAGTCCCCAACGTACTCCTGGCTAAAAGAGAGGTCACAATTATTCTATAAATAAAAAAAACTGTAAAACTGAAGTGCAATAAATATTTTACTCTTTTTTTTTGGTTACAAAATTTAATTTGATTCTTAAAATTTGAACGTAAGGAAATTGAAAGTAAATCTAGAAAGTCAAAACTGCTATTTATTTTACAGTCAGATCTGTGTAACGTAGTCAAATTATGTACATGACTGTTATTCAATTCTTTGACATGTTTCTTACAGGAGTTAATCCCCTTGATATTGTGCACTGCCATGCTCCATTCCGACTCTAAAGAGAGAGACAAACTCCTCAACATTCTCTTTAACCTGATCAAAAAACCTGACGAAGAACAAAGGTTTGGTGATTGTGATTAAAACTATTTTCTTAAAGCTTTGTCAACATTAACTCAGTAATGAAAATGTCTAGAAATTCTGGAAAAAAATTAAGCCTAAACAAAAACTTGTCTTAAAAACATGATTGTAGATTTTTTGCCATGACCAGTTCTTTAGTTTGATCTTTTTTGTTTGATAGACAGATGATCATGACGGGTTGTGTGGCCTTTGCCCAGCACACAGGAAGTGCTCGTCTGATTGAGGAACTCCTCCCTCAGTGTTGGGAACAGGTAGGTTATCTAATGTTTTCTGGAATTTGAACAAAAATGTAAAAGCATGGGAAAAATTACAGTGACATCATATCTCAATTTAATTTTTTAGCAATAATATTAATTTTATAGGTATACATGTACAAATTATTTTATTAATTCAGTTTTTCCATTTTGATATGTCCCAGAACTCTCATTATAGTAATTTTTCTCTATATGCATGTAGATAAACCACAAGTATCCAGAGAGAAGAATCCTAGTGGCTGAAGCATGTGGTGCACTGGCATCCTACTTACCAGTAAGTATAGTTATACTTTGTTTATTCCCATTCCACCAACAGTTGAGAAAGCTTTGATTACATACTAGAACATAGTTCCATGAGTTCTTTGTACCAGGCAGTTATTTTCCACTGCCTGATATTTTAGGTCATGTAAATCCTTTATGTTGAGCTCACTCATCTTTTATTTTTAGATTTTGAGCTTCCTCACCATTTTTTTTCAAACTGAGGTTTTGAGCTCACACATATTTTTTTTTTTCAGATTGAGATTTTGAGCTCACTCACCTTTTTTTCATACTGAGTTTTTGAGCTTTATACTCGTTCTTTAATTTTTTCAGACTAAGATTTTGAGCCCACTTATCCATTACTTTTTTCAGACTGAGATTTTGAGCTCACTTGTCTTTTATTTTTTCAGACTGAGATTTTGAGCTCACTCATCCTTTACTTTTTTCAGACTGAGATTTTGAGCACACTTATTTTTTGTCAGACTGAGATTTTGAGCTCACTTGTCTTTTATTTTTTCAGACTGAGATTTTGAGCTCACTCATCCTGTCGATGCTCCAGCAGATGATGGCAGAGGACAAGGAGGCAGAAGTGAGAGAGGCCGTGGTCCGAAGTCTGGGAATTCTGTTTGGATTTATCTGTGATACTGACAAATACACACAGGTAAAGGTCTCACCTACTGATAAATACACACAGTAAATACAGATTCCATTAATAGTGCAAATAAATTGTCTGGTTTTCTCAAACTTTGAAGAGACACACTTTCAGTGTTTCTCTTGAAAATTTAAAGAAAAATTAATGGACAAGAGTTTGAGAAAACTGGTAGTTAGCCATGGGCATCTCTTTATACCAACATGGACTTTTGTGTTTTGGTGTAATAAACATGCAGTTGAAAAAGTTGCCTGTCCCATGAAATTGTGTCATAAGATAAGAAAATGCAAAAGATATTTACCAAACATGAACAATATGAAGTATTTAAATTGTTTATATGTGACATACTGAAGATGCTTTAATCTCACAAAATGTATAAGTACATTTAAATACATTAACCCACACAAAGTATATTAGTTATTCAGGTTCAATCAAGGATGTACAGGGATTTACCCCGGGTTGTATTCCATACACCCGAAGCCGAAGGGTGTATGGAATACAACCTGGGGTAAAACCCCATTCACCCTTGATTGGACCTGGATAACAAATTTATTTCCTATGTGCCCATAAAAATTCTTTGTAAACACCAGAGTCTAATCAACTGTGTTTCAATCTATCAATAAGATTAATTATGCACTACTATGCATTGTGATGTCATGATATTTGGTTTTTTATCATAGAGAGAGTATGCATTGTGACGTCAGGTTTTATTTACCCCCGGCTCAAGTCGGGTGCACGGAAATTTACACCTGACTCTGTAAGCAATCAAAGCTTGTGTCACAAGCTACATAGGAAATAATGTAATTTATATGATTGCCCGGTGTTGAAGGATTGTGAATTACTGTGGGATTTATATGACTGCCTGGTGTTGTATGGTCGTGAATCACTGTGGGATTTATATGATTAGCCTGGTGTTGTAGGGTTGTGAATTACTGTGGGATTTATATGATTGCCTGGTGTTGTAGGGTTGTGAATTACTGTGGGCGTCCCTGAAGGATTCCTCTGAGCGTGTGGTGACGGCCTCCCTCCACGTCTTTCTCCCCTCCCTGGCTGCCTGGGCGGACGAACTGGACAAGCTCCAACACAGTCTCATACACAGTGTGGTCAAAGATCTGGAAGAACTAGTTAAGGCAATTCCCTGATGGGAACCAGTATACTCCCTCTTTTTCTTTGCTAGTCACACTTCTGTTGTAACAGCATAATGTACCAAAATTAGAGAGGGATTTTTTTTATGAAAAATTTGTGAAAATGGATTTAAATATGTTTTAGACAGAGATTGTTAGGTTTTTTTATGAATTGGGTTTCTGAATTAAAGCAGGGAGTTATGTCTGTTTTTATTCCCTTTTGTGTGTATGTATGTTTGGGGAGGGAGGGGGAGGGGGCATATTCATGTTTGCACTACCAGGTAAATATGCTTGGATGTCTTTGGTAAACTACATTATGCTGGTTATAACTGATCTGCTTATTTTTTTTACTTTTAATTAATTAATGTAGTAAAGCTTTTATAAAATGATTTAATGCTTTTTTGATTTTTTTAATTAATTTTAATTTCCTGTATTTTGATTAATTCACAGGTATTAAGTGTTAGTTTTTTTTTTACAAGTAACTTCACAATTTAGCAGTGTACATTAATATAAATTATAATCACTATGATCATTTTGTAACACTGTATCTTAAGTTAAAAAAATTAATGTGGGGTGAATTTGATGTGTTTTCTTTGCTGCTGATTTCCATTAGAACTATGATGAGCACAGTTACCTTCTCTTGGTATTGTATAAATCAAAAATATTCTGTAAACTACTATATACTGTATGATGTACTGTTGAACTTTTATTTTTTTTAAAAAATCATTTTTAAAAATTCTCTTATTTTACAATGTATAAAGAAACATAAGAATTTTTAATGTATTACATATACATGTATGGTATATTGAATTTCATATGAATGCTATGGAGTCTATATATAAAGGGTGTTAAGAAAGTTCATTCCACATTTCTTTTTATTTTCAAAAAGAAATACGATGAGAAGATATTTACAATTTGTGATGTTTCATGTTTACAGAGTCCATTCTTGCTATTGATAAGGTTTTAACTGTCTTTTGTTGAATCAATTAGGGGAGGGCAGGTATTAAAACAGATGATGTCTGTTCAGAAAAAATAGGGATGACGCATATTTGTGACATATATTAAGTACAGAGGTCAAAGCATCCTTTTAAATACTATGCAAAAATTATCAAATCTGTGAAAAATTTCAAAATGACAAACCTATTCTTTTGAAAAGTGATCTATTGTTCTTATATCTATGCTCATCAACTTGTCTGATGCAAGATAAGCTATGAAGAAGCAAAAATAGATTATCCTTTATTTTCAATCAAAATGACCATCATTTCTATCATTCGGGTGCTTTAACGATATTATATATATTTTCATATGAAAGAAAAATCCTATATTTTCCTGCAAGAAATGAATTGCTATAAATCTAAAGCACACTCTTGTGATTTTGTCAGACTTGAAAATTCATCTCTTTAGTTAAGCACTACTTTGAAATTTTTGAAAATATTTCATCCTGGAACGAACTTTTTAACACCCCTTACATGTATTTTTCATGTCCTGTCAGTAAGATATTCTTTTTACGTAGTCACATATTTTAAAATGTAATTGAAAATCTTTTTTCCTTTTTCTCTTTATCCAGATAAAATTATTATGTTTTATATTCAAATGATAGATGTTGTATATTTCAGCATCTATTGAATTACAGAATATTTTTGCCTCTCTTCTGGTGATGGTTAATTTACTCAAAAATTAATTTATGCTTTTATTAAAAAGTTAAAGAATATGTTATTAGATTTGTAAAACTGGCAAATTATTTTCATGCTAATCATATACTATTTTTTATTTTTTTCTTCGTTCTGATGATAAGGATTTAATTTTTTTCAAAAGGGTAACCGATTACCTTTAATCTTTAAAATAAAAAAAAATTAAAATTTATGGTATGAAACGAAAAAACAAGAAATTTATTCCTTGAAAACTCTACAGAGAATGAATAATCTTTGTAAATTTCAGAGTGCTCTGGCAGCTCAGAAAGCATCCAACTGTAACCACATTCCATTAAACGAGTCACGCTTCATGAATTCCATGTCAGCTTTACAAGAACTGATATCATTTCTCTATGTATCTGTGATAAAAAGTGGACCTTACCAGAACAAAATCAGTGAGGTCCTACATAATGTTGTGGATGTTGATAGTAAGTCTTCATCTTTTTTTTTCTTATTATTAGCTCACCTGAGCCGAAGGCTCAAGTGAGCTTTTCTGATCAAAATTTGTCCGTTGTCTGTCGTTGTCGTAGTCGTTGTCGTAGTCGTTGTCGTCGTCGTTGTCGTCGTAAACTTTTCACATTTTCATCTTCTTCTCAAGAACCACTGGGCCAATTTCAACCAAACTTGGCACAAAGTATCCTTGGGTGAAGGGAATTCAAGTTTCTTCAAATGAAGGGCCACGCCCTTTTCCAAGGGGAGATAATCATGAATTTGTTAAAAATTAATGGCATTTAAAAAAAATCTTCTTCTCCAGAACCGCTGGGCCAGGAAAGATGAAACTCATGTGGAAGCATCCTCAGGTAGTGTGGATTCAAGTTTGTTCAAATCATACCCCCGGGGCAAGGGTGGGGCCAAAATTCGACCCAAGTTTTACATAGGAATATATAGGAAAAATCTTTAAAAATCTTCTTTCCAGAACCACTGGGCCAGGAAAAAAACTCATGTGGAATCATCCTCAGGTAGAGCAGATTCAAGTTTGTTCAAATCATGACCCCCGGGGCAAAGGTGGGGCCAAAATGGCCGACCCAAGTTTTACATAGGAATATATAGGAAAAATCTTTAAAAATCTTCTTCTCCAGTACCACTGGGCTAGGAAAGATGAAACTCATGTGGAATCATCCTCAGGTAGTGTGGATTTTTTGTTCAAAAATGACCCCCGGGGCAAAGGTTTTTAAAAATTCCGACCCAAGTTTTACATAGGAATATATAGGAATAATCTTTAAAAATCTTCTTCTCCAGTACCACTGGGCCAGGAAAGATGAAACTCATGTGGAAGCATCCTCAGGTAGTGTGGATTCAAGTGTGTTCAAATCATGACCCCCGGGGCAAAGGTGGGGCCAAAATGGATATTCAAGTTTTACATAGGAATATATAGGAAAAATCTTTAAAAATCTTCTTCTCCAGAACCACTGGGCCAGGAAAGATGAAACTCATGTGGAATCATCCTCAGGTAGAGTGGATTCAAGTTTGTTCAATATCATGCCTCTCCGGGGCAAAGGTGGGGCCAAAATTAATTTAAGTTTTACATAGGAATATATAGGAAAAATCTTTAAAAATCTTCTTCTCCAGAACCACTGGACCAGGAAAGATGAAACTCATGTGGAATCATCCTCAGGTATTTTTAGATTTTTTTGTTCAAATCATGACCCCCGGGGCAAATTTGGGACCAAAATGGTAAACGATTACCCAAGTTTTACATAGGAATATATAAAAAATCTTCAAAAATCTTCTTCTCCAGAACCACTGGGCCAGGAAAGATGAAACTCATGTGGAATCATCCTCAGGTAGTGTAGATTCAAATTTGTTCAAATTTCATGACCCCCGGGGCTAGGGTGGGGCCAAAATGGCCGACCCAAGTTTTACACAGGGATATATAGGGAAGCCTTTTAAAATCTTCTTTTCAAGTACCTCAAAGCTATCATTAGTGATATTTATATGGAATCATCCTCAGGTAGTGTAGATTCTAGTTTGTTCAAATGATGAACGCCTGGAGGGGGGGTGGAGTAAATTCAAGCCTGATGTGCTCAGGTGAGCGCTGTGGCCCCTGGGCCTCTTGTTTTAGCTCTTACAGTCATCATCCATTTAGATGTTTGCATTGACCTCAGTTTTTCAATAAAAAAGTATGGAAGATAAAGCTTCACTTAACTTGGGTTTATTTTAATGCTTTCTTATGTGACATTCATTTTCTTTGGATAAGCACCCTTTTTTGTTTCAAAAAGAAGTATGGTATTGATGCTTGATGTCATGTTTGAATTTTATTTGATTTAGCAGATAATTATGTTTAAGGCTTTTGAAAGGGGGAAAAATGTCCTAATTCATTACTTTTTCTTTCAGTATCTCGGTTTCCCAAACCTTGTTCACTGCTTACAGATCTTAAGGTGGTTTGTGGTGACAAAGATCAGTTATCTGCCTTTGTTCACCTATTTGAACATCATATTGGTCAAGAGTGGTTTGAACCATGGGATTCCTTCAATTGGGTTGTGAACAATTTGTAAGTGAACAACATAATCAGATATGCATAAGATAAAAAACTAATGTACAAAAGAATATCAATCAGGTCAGATTTATGCCATGTTTAAATAAAAATTTTAGGTAAAATGTTCCACATGATAGTTGCATTTTGAATCTCTGATTATTTTTTTTAGAATTCCTAGATTACTAGAAGTTGTGTTAGGTGCCGGATTAGTCCTTCCTAAAATAGTTAATAGTCTGTGTCGCTGTTTCTTCTTGTTGTCTCGGACATTTGGCAAAGTGTTTGTGGAGAAAAGGGCAAGTATCATTTTCCTCTTTTTTTAGTTTATTCTGAACAAAGGTATCATTATATGTAGTGAACTCTTTACAGGGTTTTAGGTCTGGAGCAGGTGTCATTTCCAATGAACTATAAACCCTATATTGTGCAGACTTGCATGGATGATACATCTAAAGATGCACACTACCAAGCTTGCTTTGGATGCTGGATCTGACCTCATATCTGGAAGAGTGAACAGGTTTTCAGAGCATGTCTTGTTTCAAAGTAACTATAAACCCCATATACGTGCATGGACGATGCATCTAAGGATGCATGTACCAGGCTTGCTTCAGATGCTGGATCTGATTTATTTTTCTGTTTTCCAGATGAGTGACTATGTTAAAGATTTTGGAGCATGTTCTAGCATTATAGAGTAAACATTTAAGAATTCACATTACTGGACTTTGGATTCATTAAATTGACTTGCATTTTCCAAATGAGTGACCAAGTTAAAGTTTTAAAGTGAGCAAAAGCCAGATGCTAACGAAGTTTTAACTGCTGATACATTCATTTATGCACACTACCAGAGTTGCTTCAGATCCTTGATTTGACCTACATTTTTCTGAAAAGTAACTAGGTGTAAGTTTTTGGAGCAGATTCATTCCCAAGTAACTAAAAAACCTTTGGACCAGTCTTGCATTGATGATGCATTTAGATATGAACATTTCCAGATTTGCTTCAGATGCTGTCCTGTCCAAGTAACTTAGCCTTACTTAAAGACAACATTTGTTGATGTGGGCTCTGTAATTTATGATTACCTATGTTTTTCATATTGATCAATAATGTTAAATTCTATTTTGTATGCAGATGAGACCAAAATTCATAGAGCTGTTGGTTTCGACAGATGAACACACTGGTAATTATGTATACAGAAGTCTCAGTTAAAAGTTAAATTTAAAATATCTTGAAAACCAATGATAAGACTTCGTAATAATTTTGAAACCAGTGAATTCATGTGAGTGATAATTGATATCATATTGTCTGTTTATGAGATACTTGAACATGTCAATCTGCTGTAAAAACTGTGTATAGATTTTACATGATTTAGTACATTGTACTTTACTAACCTTTCTGCGCTCAGACCATCGAGGTTACGCGGCTGCTAAACAGACCAGTGTCACCACCTGTATTGTCCCTGTATATGCCGCGGGAGTCCTGTCAGCATTTAATTCTGTACGCTCTTTTTCTTATTTTACCTTTTCTAAATTTAATTAAATTTCCAAACTTCTAATAATACATGTATTTTCATTGTATTTTTTGTGTATCTTGTTTTCTTCCCATTGTATCTATTCTCATTCTTACTTAACAGGAGGAAGATAGGCAGCAGCTGATTCAGTTCCTTCAAGAAATCCTTTGTACTCTATCCATGTACCAAGCCCCCCTAGACAGCCTGAAGGCAGCATTTACAGAACTCAGGTAGGTTCCTGTTTGTTGGACAGCCAGTGAGAGTTAGCTCACTTTATAGACACACAGTTTAGTACATATACACCAGGTAAAGTGTACCTGTCATGTCTCTCTGCAGTGCTAACCCCAGCAATCATGAGCTGTTGCTGACAGTCCTCTGGGATGGGGTGGTGCACTCCTCTCCCCAGGTACGAGCTTCAGCGGCCAGACTGTTCGAGGTACGTAATTCACTCACAGGTACAAGAGTACAGTAGATTTATAGAATGAAATATTTCTCATAGCCATGTAATACATGTATGAATATAAAATGGTCTAATTTTTATGAGATGTCTGAGAGGTTTTTATTTTTTTCTGCAGCTGATGGTGAAAGGTGTTGGAGAGAATCTCATCTCTACCCGAGTCTTTCCTGCTCTCGTCACACTCGGAACTGATGCTGAAATGTGAGTACATTGTTTGGATATTTTTGGTCTATTCTATGTTATTAGGTAGTAGAACACCAATTCATGTATCCTTATGAGTGCAAAACTTATCTATATTTTGGTTTCTCTTAAACTTTTGTATAAATCAAAGATTCAAATGTATATATGTGCTAAAAACTCAAGATAAATGTCCACTATGTTTGCAATGTCAGTGAATGCTGTATCTGCCTAAATTATTGGCAAACAACTTTGAGCAAGCAAAATTTGCACTCTACAGTATTCCATTTTTTGTATGTCACAGTAATGTCAGGACAGCTACCATTCCTGCTCTTGGAGCCATAATAGAGAATGTGTCCCTTGTTGATGTAAGTATTTGTGAAGTTGACCCTTTTTAGGAAATGTCAAATTTTACACTGATTAAACAAAGCAAAATCTTCCTGCAATATCTATTCATAAGCACTAAATTACATGTCAGTTTTATTAACTACAACTTCAAATGCAAAACCTCCTTTTACCGTAATTAAGATCTTTTGTTACTGTCAATGCTAGATAGAGTAAAGAGGGTTGTTCCAGAAAAGCAAAAACATTTTAAATTCTTTTTTCTAGTATAACTAGTATATTGACAATGTACATGTAATTGATATTTTTTGAATACTACGTAGAAATTTCTGTATGACACATGTATCTCTGTTAAAAAAATTTCTCAGTAAAACAATTCATCATGTTCATACAAATAGTTGCTGGTGCAGCACTGACAATGTCAAAAGGTATATGGCTGAACCCCTCCACTTTTTTTGCAAAAATATACATTATATGGGCATTGAAAATCGGAATTTACCTTTTTTGTTGGTTTAGTCCCCCCCCCCCCCACTTTCGATTAGCCCCCCCCCCCCACTTTCAGTTTGCTTCCGACGCCCATGCAAATCATGTACATGCATCAATAAAATTTGTTTGAAGCATTGACAATATGCTGTATTTGATTTTCTAGTAGCTACAGAATATATATTTATATATCTTGCACATGCTAGAGTTACCAAAAGATTTCTCGTATAAAAATTCCCCAACGACAATCATAAACCTAATTGCTTGCCTAGTTAAACAGTGATCTCCATGTATGACATCAAAATATCTATAAATATAAATATATTTACTTAAATTTTGCAGTTTGCATAAAATTTAAATTCAAACATATAATAAAAAAATTGACTGATTAATATCAAAATTATTTCAGAGGATACATGTATAATTAATTTTGATTTAAGTCACTCTGTTCATAGTTTAATATGATCTTAGAGCCAGACCATAGAGTTTTTGTAGATTTCTTTTTTAGGAGGGGGTCACAAAATATTTCTAAACAACAAAGTACATATTAAAATGATGAAAATATTACTATTTTTGAAAGTAAAAAAAATGTGCTGTGTTAACATGAATAATTTTGGTCAGGTACTACTGTATACAGGGTTATTTTCGCCCCGTGTTATTTTCGCCCTTTCACATTTGAAAACAAGGTTGCCCCGTTTTAAATTCGCCCAAAAAGATTTTTGTTTAAGATATTAAGCAGTTTACTTTGAATTCGCTCCGTTTTAAATTCGCCCACGCCAGACTAGGGCGAAAGGGGCGAAAATAAAACGGGGGCAAAAATTTCCCTGTATACAGTATATGATATGCATCTGAACTTCAGTATCTCAAACATTTATATTATAAATACCATGTATATTTGAAAGTGTTTTGGAATTACAAAGCACTATTTTTTTTCAAATACATGTATGTCAGTGTTTTGTGATCCAACTAAGTTTAAGATAAAAAGGTCTGACTATATATATAATAAAAAAAGTTTTGGGTTTTTTTTACTTTTAGATGTGAGGCTTGCTTATAATTATTATTTTTTTTTTGTTCTTTGTTTTTTAAATGTTAACATGTATTTTTAGATGATTTGTTGGTATTTGACAAAATATACATAAATTGATATTTTTATTTTCATTTGTTAGATAGTGTACCCTAGATTGGTTTGTTTACCAACATATACTTTTAAGTAATTTAGATGCAAGACATGTAATATACATGAATTGGTTTTGTTATTTTCAGATGTTAGATAGAGTTTACATGCAGTTTGTAACCTTCATGGATGACCCGGTCTACAGAAATGAACATGAGGTCATCATTGAGTTGATTCGCACACTCGCACGAGTTGGTCCAAATGCTGAGCCCCGTTTCCGAGATGATCGTGAGTACATTTTTACAATCTGATGTATGATGTGAGAAAAAGAATCTGATCCAAACAATAGGACACACCAAAGCAGTTTCTGCAATGATCCTACATGTAGCTCTTCTATTCAGGAAAAAGTTTCAGTGTATTCGTATATAAAGGCCTCATCCAGCAGAGACAATGACAACTTTTGGTCTAATTAATCTGGGCCAAGGTTACACGTATAGAACACATTCTGTATATTGTATATACTCATTTAGTAACTAAATACATTTTGCAAGTTTACTACATTTGTACAACATTCATTTTTCCTTTCTAATTTTTTAGCTCTATTGGTCAGAGACCAGAAGAGGTTATGCGATAGTGATGCGTCCGGCGTCCGTCCGTCTGTCAGAGTGTCTGTCTGTCTGTCTGTCTGTAAACAATTTTTATACGCCCGTCTTAAGACGGGACGTATTATGTTATAGGCTTCATGTCCGTCCGTCCGAGCGTCCGTCCGTCTGTCCACTCATGTCCGGCTCATAACTTCAATACTAATAGGCCTAGGACTATCAAACTTTGTCAACTGGTACTTCTTGGGTAGACGGTGTGTCGCGCACAAAAAGTAGGTCACTCTGACCTTTAATAAAGATGCTATGGCCAAATAAGGAAAAATCCTGTCCGGCTCATAACTAGAAAACTATTAGACCTAGAGCTATCAAACTTGGCAAAAATATACATCTTAGGTAGAAGGTGTGTTGCGGCTTATTTCAAGGTCACTTTGACTTTTAATTTCAGTGAAATTTTTAAAAAACTAATTCTTTTAAATTTTTAATTTCATAATCCTAAAAAATGTAAAATTATAGCTGTATCCTTGTTAAAAAATGTTAAATCAAGTAAAAAACTTATTTTTTCATCATATACTTTACAGCAATCTGTAAGAAATGTTAATGTTATAAGAGGAATGCAGTTTGTCCCATGGGCATAATTAACAAGCACTGGTCAAGAAGAATTTTGATAGCAGAAATGTGCATGTCAAATTAGAGAGAAATTAATGAGTTTATTGTCAAGAGCTAACTGGAAGACCATCTCTGACCATGCAGCTGTTGTCTCTTGGGAGTTGGGCAAAAAGAAATGGCCTCACAGTTGCTTGTGTTAATTAAGAGTTCTTGATGGCTAGTTCAGATAAAGATCTTTCAATTAGTTATTTGGTGTAATGTAATTAAAACAAATTGATGTTTTATTCTTTTAAAATACAGTATATGATTAAAACTAAATTAATATTGTATGATATAATAAAAACTAATTATACATACATGTATTTACATTGAAAAAAAATACATTTCAATTTTTATATATTTGCAACAAATTGCAGAGTGCCATGTCTTATAAAATTTTATAGTCTAAAGAATAATTTCTGTTTGATGTTTTTTAGACTGTAGCATTTTTAATCAATCATAAAATATGCAATAAAAAAAGCAGCAGATGGATATTTTTAAGCTCTAACTCAGCCAGTTTAGAATTATGTGATGTATTATTTCTTATAAATATTGTCTACACTCTTAGAGATGTATGTACAATAAATATGATCAGGAATTAATGGAAATTAGATCATTGAAATCAGTGTCAATCTTGTAATCTTGAACTTGGTAATCAAAGTTACCTGATTTTCTTGCACTCTAATTACCAGTTTATGAGCATTATTGAACAATATTTGACGGGCGTATCATGCTGTGGCGGGGCACTTTATTCAAAATGCTACTCCTCCTACAGTTTTGGTCCGATTTCAGTATAACTTGGCAAACAAGTAGACTACACTAAGATACATAATTCTGTGCATCGGTTTTTGATTTTGATGAACGGTGTTGCTGTGGTTACTAAAAATAGAAATTTCTGTGAAATTCTTTCAAAATGCTACTCCTCCTACAGTTTTGGTCCAACTTCAGTATAACTTGGCACACAAGTAGACTACACTAAGATACATAATTCTGTGCATCGGTTTTTGATTTCAATGAACGGTGTTGCCATGGTTACTAAAAGTAGAATTTTTTTTGAAAGTCTTTCAAAATGCTACTCCTCCTACAGTTTTGGTCTGTTTTCAATATAACTTGGCACACAAGTAGACTACACTGAGATACATAATTCTGTGCATCGGTTTTTGATTTCGATGAACCGTGTTGCCATGGTTACTAAAAATAGAAATTTCTGTGAAATTCTTCAAAATGCTACTCCTCCTACAGTTTTGGTCTGATTTCAATATAACTTGGCACACAAGTAGACTACACTAAGATACATAATTTTGGGCATTGGTTTTTGATTTTGATGAACGGTGTTGCCATGGTTACTAAAAATAGAAATTTCTGTGAAATTGTTTCAAAATGCTACTCCTTCTACAGTTTTGGTCCGATTTCAGTATAACTTGGCACACAAGTAGATTATACTAAGATACATAATTCTGTGCATCTGTTTTTATTTTGATGAGTGGCAAGGATCATTTTTAGCTCTACTGGTCAGAGACCAGAAGAGCTTATGCGATAGTAATGCGTCCGTCGTCCGTCCGTCTGTCTGTCTGTCTGTCTGTAAACAATTTTTCAAAATGCTACTCCTCCTGCAGTTTTGGTCTGATTTCAATATAACTTGGCACACAAGTAGACTACACTAAGATACATATTTCTGTGTATCGGTTTTTGATTTTGATGAACGGTGTTGCCGTTGTTACTAAAAATAGAAATTTCTGTGAAATTCTTTCAAAATGCTACTCCTCCTACAGTTTTGGTCTGATTTCAATATAACTTGGTACACAAGTACACTACACTAAGATACATATTTCTGTATATCTGTTTTTGATTTCGATGAACGGTGTTGCCGTTGTTACTAAAAATAGAAATTTCTGTGAAATTCTTTCAAAATGCTACTCCTCCTACAGTTTAAGTCTGATTTCAATATAACTTGGCACACATGTAAACTACACTAAGATACATAATTCATTGTATCGGTTTTTGATTTCGATGAACGGTGTTGCCGTTGTAACTAAAAATAGAAAATTCTTTGAAATTCTTTCAAAATGCTACTTCTCTTACAGTTTTGGTCTGATTTCAATATAACTTGGCACACAAGTAGACTACACTAAGATACATATTTCTGTGTATCGGTTTTTGATTTCGATGAACAGTGTTGCCGTTGTTACTAAAAATAGAAATTTCTGTGAAATTCTTTCAAAATGCTACTCCTCCTACAGTTTTGGTCTGATTTCAATATAACTTGGTACACAAGTACACTACACTAAGATACATATTTCTTTATATCTGTTTTTGATTTCGATGAACGGTGTTGCCGTTGTTACTAAAAATAGAAATTTCTGTGAAATTCTTTCAAAATGCTACTCCTCCTACAGTTTAAGTCTGATTTCAATATAACTTGGCACACATGTAGACTACACTAAGATACATAATTCATTGTATCGGTTTTTGATTTCGATAAACGGTGTTGCCGTTGTAACTAAAAATAGAAAATTCTTTGAAATTCTTTCAAAATGCTACTTCTCTTACAGTTTTGGTCTGATTTCAATATAACTTGGCACACAAGTAGACTACACTAAGATACATAATTCTGTATATTCGTTTTTGATTTCAATGAACAGTGTTGCTGTTGTTACTAAAAATAGAAATTTCTGTGAAATTCTTTCAAAATGCTACTCCGCTTACAGTTTTGGTCTGATTTCAATATAACTTGGCACACAAGTACACTACACTAAGATACATAATTCTATTTATCGGTTTTTGATTTCGATGAACGGTGTTGCCATTGTTACTAAAAATAGAAATTTCTGTTAAAAACTCTCAAAATGCTACTCGTAATACAGTTTAAGTCTGATTATAATATAATGTGGCATGCAAGTAGACTACACTAAGAACATAAAGAGACTTAATCAAGGATCATTATTCTTTTTATTGCTGTGGTAAAGTTTCAGTTCCCAACTGCTTAAGAACCTTTCTTTTCCTTTGCTATAAGTACAAACCAGTAGAGCTTCAGTCTCGACAGAGACTTCTGGTTCTATTTTTTATTTATTGCTGTTTTAAAGTTTCAAGTCGCAACTGCTACTTTTATCTTCCTTTGTTTTAAGTATAAACCAGTAGAGCTACGGTCTCGACAGAGACTTCTGGTTGTATTTGAAGTAAAACAAAATCCAGTCCATAAATTGAGATGTCTTTTGCATTCCATACTTCAAAATTGATTATGGTATACCATGAGGTTAAGGTGGGATACACCACAACAAAAGTTTTGATTTCTCATCTAAATTAAAACTCATAACTTTGAAAATATCAGTAGTCATATTTGAACAGTATACAAGATGGGTAAAACTAATAAGGCATTTCAACTGGTCCATGATATCATACAAGCTTAGTGCCCCATATCATACATTGCATTTATTAGTGTTGCCAAACTATGTAAGAAAACAAAACTTTGATGGGGGTAAGATTTATTTTTAGCTCTACTGGTCAGAGACCAGAAGAGTTTATGCGATAGTAATGCGTCCGTCGTCCGTCCGTCTGTCTGTCTGTCTGTCTGTCCGTCTGTCTGTCTGTAAACAATTTTTCAAAATGCTACTCCTCCTACAGTTTTGGTCTGATTTCAATATAACTTGGCACACAAGTAGACTACACTAAGATACATAATTCTGTGTATCGGTTTTTGACGAAGAACGGTGTTGCTGTGGTTACTAAAAATAGAAATTTTCTGTGAAATTCTTTCAAAATGCAACTCCTCCTACAGTTTTAGTCTGATTTCAATATAACTTGGCACACAAATAGACAACACTATGATACATAATTCTATGTATCGGTGTTTGATTTCGATGAATGGTGTTGCAGTGGTTACTAAAAATATAAATTTCTGTGAAATTCTTTCAAAATGCTACTCCTCCTACAGTTTTGGTCTGATTTCAATATAACTTGGCATACAAGTAGACTACACTAAGATACATAATTCTGTGTATCGGTTTTTGATTTCGATGAACGGTGTTGCCGTGGTTACTAAAA